AGTGATGGTGACGCCTCAGTCAGAATATCATCTTCATCTTTATATGTGTCTAGTTTTTAACCTATGCTACATTTCTGTTCCATTTCTTCCTGTTTAGAACAAGAGCAACATTTTTCCATTAACATGTAGGCTTTTGGCCCTGTAGTCCCCTTATCTAAAACATTATCTTAATAGAGAGCTGGGTGTGGAGGCCCAGGACCGTAGTTCCAGCTACTAAGAGGGTTAGGCAGGAGGATCACGTGTGTCTGAGTAATGCAGTGAGATCCTCATAAATAGAAAAGTCTTGAGGACCTTGAGGGAGGAAGGTAGGAGGGAGGGAGAAGGAAGGGAGAGAAAGCTGGATATTAGTCTCCAATCCTTCCACAGGAGAGTGGAAGGACTCAGAGCTGCTGGACTCAGAGCTTAAGGACTATGAATTGAGGGGTTGCTTTTTGGTCATTGTTTTCTTTTTGCTGTACTAGGAAACCAACCTAGGGCCTTTACACTGAGCTACATCCCCAGTCCTTTTAAAAATCATGTTGACACAGGGTCTTAATCAGTGTCCAGACTGGCCTCAAACCTGTGATCCTCTTGCCTCAGCCTTTCAGGGAGGTGGAATTATAGTCACCACACATGGCTTTTTTTTTAGTTGTAAGGATCTCACTAAAAAGTATCCGAGGACATAGTTATGAAGGTGAGAAAAAAATTCAAGACCAGAAGATAGAGTAGAACCGATAGTAGATGAAGTTGTAGTACACTCACCATGGTTAATTTATATCCAATGAGAACTGAGATTATGCCCCAAAAAATACTCTCACTGGTTCAAATCTATGGCAAAATAAAAACATTAGGTTTTTTTTTCAAGTTAAATTTAGCTGTAAAAATTCTGTGCTATTCTCTTTGCATACTAGTTGTAAGACTACTTGTAAAAATTACTTAAATTGCACCAGACATTATTCCAGCTGTCTGTGGAGGCAGACCCTGTGATAAAGATCTGAGTACAAGTAGTTTATCTAGGAGGTCACAGGAGGGAAAGCCAGCCAGCCATACAGCAGAGTGGTACCACACCATTCCCCAGTGTGACAGGCACCCCATCCTGTGCAGGAGCCCCAGGAGAGGGTGAAGGTAGGGATCGGAGCATTCAGCTGCATGCAGAGCTGCTCTCATAGAATCCCAGCTACTCCAGAATTTCAAGTTCAAGACCAGCCCGCGCAACTCAGAATGACATTGTAACAATGGCTGGAGATGTAGCTCTGTGTCAGAGCACAGCATGTGCACCAGGGCCCTGGCTCAGTCCCCAGGGCTGGGGGAAGAAAAGATCCCATTGGGGGCAGAAGGAGCTGAGGAAACTCTGATGGTTGAGAAGAGCTCTCAGATGGGTCACAGGACACATTGGGGGAAGGGATGGTGAGAGCAGCCCTTTTAACTGTTTTTACCTTGGCAAAATACCAGTCACTGCTGTTGGTTTACCTTTAATTATTCCAGCTGTTCCCCTAAGTAAATTTACCAACTCCAATTTGAGATGCAGTGACTATATCAGCCACAGGTCATGCCACCAGTGATAGAAATAACTTTAAAATAGGCACTAGTGAGTGAGAATTCTTGGTACTGAGGACCAAGGGTGACTCTAGAACTACCAACAACATAACCAAGAAAAACCATCCCTGATCTGCCACTCCAAGAAAGGCCTTCAGTTCTCGTCTTTCTAATAATTTGCCAGCTTTAAAAATTTTTTTAAAAAAATCTTTTTCTATTTTTTTATTTGGCATAGGGTCTCTTACACAGCTCATACTTGTAGTAGTAATCTTCCTGTTTCGGCCTCCCAAGCGCTGGGATTCCAGTTGTGTGCCACCATGCCTGTTTCAGTGGCTGACTCTGTGCCTGGGGTTCCTGGGCAGGCAAGGCATGCAGTACCGGGGATCAAACCCAGGTCCTTGTGCTTGCCAGGCAGGTTCTTAGATTGCCATGCTATCTCCCCAGCCCTACAGCTGACATCTTCTAGCAAGGCAACACGACAGAGCAGAAGATACTGTCACATAAAGCTGGTACCTGATTTCAACTGCCCACTCAGCCAGCTGAGGAAGTCTGACCAAGGTTGACAGCGATTCCTGGAAAAGCAGTGAAGCACCCCCAGCTTCGCAGGCAAAAGACAACCCTGCTCAAAGGTGTCAGGAGGCGCCTCCAAATCTATGAAAATATCAAGTAACTATAATCCTAGAAATGCTAAATCATCTTGTTTAGCTCACTTGGCAGATGCCTAAAGGAAACATCTTTTTAAAAAGGTGGCTAATGGCACTCCAGCCCACTGTTAGAAAAAGTAGTTTCTACTTGCTAGAGCAGTTTCCTAGCCTTTGCCTGTCTTCAACAGGCATCTCAAATACAGAGTTTTAGCTTTAAAAATGTGGCAGAAAGTTTACTTTCATGTAGTTCAACTTTTTTTTTTTTTTTTTTTTTTTTTTTTTGTATTTTAGGGAAGGGTCTACAAGGTGTTCAGGGTCTCACTACTAGATTGGACTTGTAGTAATCCACCTGTTTACAACCTCCCAAGAGCTGGGATTACAGGTGCGTGCCACCATGCCCAGTCTCAATTGCCCACTCAGGGTGCCCTGGGGGTGGGGCCAGCACGGCAGGCCAGGGGATTGAACCTCTGGCCCCTGTGCCCGCTTGCAGGTACTTTAATCCACTGAGCTATTTGGCCAACCCTCATTTAGTTCAACGTTAATGACTACTAAGACAACCCATGAGAAGAGTATTGTTCTCCCACTTAGCAATAAGAAATGTAAACACAGAACACAGTAACTTACAAAGTTTCCTACAGCCAGAGTGGTAGACCTGGTATTCAAACTCAAGCACTGCACCAGACATCTACACTTCATTGTTTCACTGCTTCCTACTATTAGTCCATCTCTGGCTCTCCTTCTACTCTTCTGCTAGGTACCAGAGATCCAGTCATTCAAATGTGATTGTCAGTCCCAAGTTCTTAGCATCTATTTTTTTTTTTAAATTTTATTTATTTTTATGTGTGTGTGTGTGTGTGTGTGTGTGTGGCCAGCTCAGCCCACCAGGGGCGGGGCTGGCTGGCATGTGGTGCTGGGGGATTGAACCGCGGTCCCTGTGCTTTGCTAAGCTTGTTCTAAGTAGGTGCTTTAGACCACTGAGCCATCTCACCAGCCCCTTTAGCATCTATTTTTAAACAGCAAGTACAGTTCACAAATTTTTTCCTTTGAACTTTATTAATCTTGGCACTAATTGTTAAAATTATTTTTGATACCTACAGTTGCAATCAAACCCACCAACATAAAAACCTGAGTGCCAAGGAACTATGAACAAGACACTCTATTGTAATAACAGCAACACGGTGGTCTCTTCTGTTTACATGCCCTCCTCCTCTCACCTCTTGCAAGGCCTTTGCAATTCCCCCCAATCAACAAGGTGTCAAAGGGAGGAAGTGACAACCTAGAGCAGCGATGGTGAACCTTTTCGAACTTTCAATAGATGGCGAACCTTCTAGACCTTTCAATAACAAATCGCCCACTGTGGCAGGCACAGGTGCCGTAGACCGCTACCCAGGCTAGTGCATCTCTAAGTGGACCAGGGTGTGCACTCAGTGAACATGTTAGGCAAACATTTTAGAGAAGAGGGCAACAAGATGTTTTAGAAGTACACTTATTTTAAGAATCGCATCTTGTAACTTTCGCCATGCCTTGTAGTCTTCAATGTACAAAATAAATTCAGGCCAACAGTCAAGATACTTTCCTTGGTTAAAAACCTGAAGAATGCAGAAGACATGTGGATTAGTGAGAAAAGCTGTGTGATGTCACTGAAACACCCTGGGCAGGTGACTAGGCAGATGCTTTAAACACTATCATCTAAATCTACCATGTCAGTGGGCTTGGGATGCAATTTTCATTGGCCAATGCAGCTTGATAGGTAAATGGTTGCCTAGGAGCGTTTTTAAGAGGCAAAAATCTACAGAATGAGGCTTAAGAACCTGGTAGTTCCTGCCAGGTAATGACTTTCAGTCAGTACCTGAGGTCTAGAGTATTCTGCTTCTGTCTGCATTCCACTTGCCCGCATTTAAGACTCTGCTGCTTGATCCAGCCAGGGCACCTAATTCTGCTGATTGTTACTGCTTTGGCTTTACTGAGAATCTTCCCAAGATGCTGGTGGGGTTACCTATGAACAGAGAAGTTTCTGAAACTTCCCAAAGGCTCTGCTTGGTAATCAGTATTCATTCATGTGAAACTATTTTATACTTGCTTTCATGTCAGGTAATGAGGAAACACACAGACTTGCCTTCTGTGACAGCTGGAGGCCACCTTCCAAATGGGACAGATGAATGACTAAAGGGGTCTCCACAATTGGCAATGCCGTACATACGGGGAGACTGAGAGCACTGGACCCTTAGCTTATGGTGAGGGTCACCTCTGACCCCTTGCGCGCCCCTTGGTCTAGGGCCCTACAGATGATCTCATGGTCAGTAGATGAATGTAGTTTTAAGAGCTAGACAGAAAGAAATTCAGCTGTTCTAAAAGTCCAAGTTATTCTTTGCAGTGGTGCTCTTAAAATAGTTAGGAATTTTATACTTCCTGTAATCAAACTTGATTACTTAGAAGGCTTTCAGTTTGCTAATGACTGCAAAAGTTTAAAAATAGAAACCATAGGCCAGGAATTGAGCGGGCGAATGCCCTGCATGCGCAAGGGCCTGGATGCAATCTCTGGTATCTTGGGGCAGGGAGGGACTATGGCTTAAAATTTTTTTAAAAAAACCTACTCCATATGCCAACTCAACAAGGAGCTGGGAAAATGTCATTGAGGTTAAATCAAGGGCAATTTGAAAATTAAAGCAGCAACCATGGGACTGGGGGTACTGCTCAACATTACATCTGAGAGGTCCTCGGTTTGATCCCCAGGACACCCCCTTACACACAGAAATACACTCAGACTCACATATACCCTCCAAACAAACAAACAAAGCCAACTTGAGTAGTAACGTATGAAAATCCTAAAAGTGAAACTACGGCAAATATTTTATTTGATGTTTCATGCTGGGTTGATTTAAACAAATAAAACAACTTTGTTGAACAGAATTTTTTCATACAATGACTATGTGTACACAGACAACCGAAAATAAGGAAAAGAACCCAAGTTAATGTTTTGACAAATTACAAGCTGTTGCTAAAGATCGTATGCTTGGATTGAAAAGAAACAGTCCAAGGGATGAATACGCTCTCATCGATCTGGGAGCTGAACCAATCTTTCTTTTAACAAAACCAACACATTACACCGGTGTAAACCGATCTTTTTTTTTTAACATTCCACATGAAAACGTGTTTCCTCAGTGTCCCTCTCTTTCTGCATTTAGTCATTACTTGTCTCTTACATGGGAAAATAAAAGTGAATTTATATTAGCAAGTGAAAGTGCAAGTTTGTACAGCTAGGCTCAGCAGCAAAAGTGAAGAGAATAATGAGAAGTGAAAAGCTGACAGCTGCCACGTGGCACGAGGGTGCCCGTGAAGGTGCTGCCCGTGGGCCACACGGTCAGTGCGCCAACATATTCCCATTGCTCTGAAACGAGCAAAACCAAATTCTTTTTTCATTTAAAGAAACATGAAATCTCCCTCCCTCCCCCTGTATAATTTGAGATCAGGTAAGGCAGTAAAGTTCCCACCATCCTTGGGGACAGCAGCAACATCCGAACGCCAGAACTAGCCCTGTATCAGCAGCAGCCTTCTGTCACAGCAACACTGGAAGGGGTGCGTCTCATAAAGCAAGCGTGCGGTGTTGTCACACTGTTTTCATTCATTCGATTTGTGTGGGAAAACCTTACAAATACATTATATACGAGGAGAGTAAATTAGGTTCTTGCTTTGCAAAAAAATAACTTTTTTTTCCTTCACATTTTAAAACTTGTTAGGATGCTTTTGTAAAAGGAGCTGCAAGAAGAATTCGACACTAGGTTCACAGAATGTCCACATACAAGGTGCATTTACAAGAACCTGGTAGTCTGCCTATAATTTGCCTCTACAAATAGAGCTTTTTGCAACAATATTTAAACAAACAGGTTTAACTTAAACACCTCCTCTAGTCATTCTACTTGTAGAGAAAAGAGGTACTTATTTTTCAAGTATTATATTGTAAAAGTGATTTTTTTTTCCAATGTTATATGTCAAGCTTCTAAGAACAAAATATCTCTGTGAAAAATCATGCTTAGTCAGCCTATTTTGGAGTCAAATGCTCTTGTCTTTTAAAGAATGCAGAAAAATATCGATTTGCTAAGAAGGAACACACTGGAAAAAGCCATTTTAAAGTACTGCAGAACAAGGAGCATTTATTTCTTTCTGTTGGCGAAAATTATTAGAAAAGCTATCCAGTCTGTTTGTTGTTAGCTGGTTTTAAAAAGTCATTCCAAAATGATGGTCAAGCAATCTTTAGAAAACTGGAGGAGGGGATGCTCCTGTGTGGCATGAAAGCGATTCCATTAATCGTGGAAACTCTTACTCAATTTCTGCTTTGGTGCATCAGAACAAGTGCTCATATAACTTCTAGGAGAGGAGACAGAAAAACCACAGATTAATGTGACACTTACTTAAAAGTTAATGAAAGAAAATGACAGTGACATTTACACTTCCAAAATATTACCATGTTGTTATATAGATTGTCTTATCTGAGCACAGGCGATTGATTGTCTTACGATTCACAACCTTACACTGAATTGAATTCTACTATTTCAAAAGAAAGCACATGGGCTTTCCTTTATTCCAGTCGAGGCCATATTACTTACTTTTCCACCTGCATATATCAACTGTAGGTTTCTCGGAGGTTGGGGATCTAAACATTCATGGGTTGATATCCTTGGTACCCAATAGTTGGGGTTCCAGGGAAGGGGAGGGGCATGAAGGGAAAGGAAGGGAAGCGAAGAACAGTGGAAATGGATCCATCAATAACTGACAAGGTGATTTAATAGGATCTGCCAGAAGGAGAAAATCACATGAACTCCCTCCTGCCATGAGCCTGTGACATGACAAAGGAGAAAAACCACGCCGCCACATGTCCAGCAACGTGGCACCAGACTGTTCCTGAAGGCTTAAGAATCAGAAACTCAGACCAGGGAGGCACTTTGGGACCTTTCACAGTCCAAAAAGTGGGGTGCACCAACGTGAAATTCCATGCTCAGGGTCAAGTACATTAAAGGAGCAAAGAAGGGAAGCTGGTGGGTGTTCAGCACGACTTGCTCACCTGCTTGTAAGTTTATTTGCTATGGGTTCAGAGATGGAATCTCAACGGCAAAGCAATCTGGCTGCAAATAATTCTATACTGACTCCATTTACACATCTTGCATTTTTGAGTCAATTTTGTTTGTAACAGTACAAACAGATATAATCAGAACGTAAAACTGACCTACTAGGAAAAGAAGTCAACCAAATTCAGACAGGTTGAAAAGGCAGCTGGGATTATCTATTCTAAGGTGAACCCTTTAGAGACAAGTGCCCAAACTAACTGCAAACCAAAATCCACTTACCTGTTATGATGTGCTGATACTATAATTAAACCTGAACACTGAGGTTTTTGTGTATAAAAAATAATTCACATGTTAAAAGGAAAACACAATGACAGAACTTTTGGTAACAAAAATAGCCTGCTGTGGCACCTTTCATAGGTTTGCCACCCTTGATATATAGTCACTTAGGAGAGACCCTAAGGCTTAGTATGATCCTAGTTTGGAGAACTGTTCTTATCACCTAAATATTAACTATCCATCACATTATACTATTTATTTTAATTAATTAATTTATTTATTTTTGGCGGGACCGGGGATTGAACTCAGGCTCTTGCGCCTTATTCCACTGAGCCATCTCCCTGGCCACCACATTATACTTTAAAAAGGCAATAACTTATGACCCAGATTGCCAAGCCCAAAGCAGGGAAAAGTGGTAGGAGAACAAAAGGGAAGCCTTAAGTCTCCAAAGACTTGAGAAAAAGAGAAAAACACCCAACCTCTTCTCAGGTGGGCAGAACTAGACCAAATGGACTGTCCATTATGGGGCACGGCCTTGTCTGACACAAAGCACCACTTGACAGTGACAGTGACCCTGAAAGCTGCTGGCGGGGTGCTGTGGACTGAGAGGGAAGGCAGAGCGGCTCTAGATGAAGTTCAGCTTCTGTGACCAGTCAGAGTGGAGAAGGTGAGAGTCCACCCCCTCTTGGGTGTGTGTCACATTTCTGTTGGTCCCAAAAGGGAGTGCAAGGCACGCTTACCTGCGGTCTGTTGTGTTTGAACACCATCTACCTGAGGCAGGGGCCCAAGTGTCCCTTCCTCACTGAAGGCCAAAATTGGATTCAAAGGAATTTCTGGGTTCTCCCTGTTGATGACATCTAATCTTGATGGCTTGGATCCAATAGGTAAGGTTATACTTTCTTCAAAATTTTCATTCTCCATAGATACTCCATTTTCATTTGGTTGTCTTTCCAAATTCGGAGCACTGAGGAAATTGACAAATCAAAACAGAAATGAGTCAGTACTCACATTTGTAGAACAACCAAAAGTTATTTTATAATAAATAGACTTCTCACTTTATAGTAAAAACAGACTGACTGATCACATCATTACTGGTGAATTATGTTGTATTTGTATTTTCAGTTACTTCTTAAAAATCTGGCCTTGCAATAAAGCCTATTGAAATGGACAACTTATCACTTCAAAAGATCACCATCAATGGAGTGGCTCCTAAGTGGGAACTTCCTTCAAAGATGAGCAGGTCCTGACTCCCACTGAAGGAGTACACTGTTACAGTATGTGACTGTGGTGGCACAGAGACGAAAAGGTTACTCAAGAGATGAAACTTGGGTCTGAACAGCAAGAGGCCCACGGAGGCCACTGACAGCACCCAGAGCTGGGGAGCCTCCCGGGAGTAGCATCAAAGCCCAGAACTTTCTGGTTTTTATTTAGAATATCAGTGTAAGAGAAAAAAAAAAAAAAAAAAAAATTAAAAAGAAGAAAAAGCAGTTTGAGCCAGGAGCCATCTCAAGACTAGATAGTTTTTTGGGGAAAAGGGAAGCACCAGGGCCAAACACAGCATGCCTTGCTGATCTAACTCATTGAATCATTTACTCTTCAGAGCCAGTGTGCTTTTGCCGCACAGTTTAACCAGCCACTCCTTGGCCAAGTCCCTCATAGTAGTGATCTGCACAGAGACAGCCACTGGATACAGTGCTAGGTGCATAACTGCTCCTCTTTGCTGTTTCTTTTGGACCTCATTAAGTTAGTTTCATTAAGGGTCTCACTAAGGGTCAAACTCCTGATCTTTCTGCCTCAGTCTCCCAGTGCTGAGGCTACAGGTAGAGGCCATCATGCCAAGCCTTTATTCAAGGTAAGGGGTTTCACTATGTTGCCCTGGATAGTTTCAAACTCCTGTGTTCAAGTGATCTTCCTGCTTGACCTCCCAAGTGGCTCGGACTGCAGGCATGTGCCATTGTGCCTGGCTAGCCGCAAACACACGATCTCTTGCTTTCTGCTCCTATGCTGTTCTCAATAAACCGTTTTGTGAATTTCTTGGCTATTCAAATTTTGGGGGGCCGAGGAGATAGTTCAGTAGAATAAGCACCTACCTGGCAAGTGCAGGGTCGACTTCAATCCTTGGTACCACACACACACACACAAATTTGGACCTCCTTTAGTATCCCTAGCTTTCTAAAATGCTTGTATCATTTCATCTATGTAAACTGTTCAAGAACTTTGTTTTTTTTTCAATTGATAGTGTCTCACTATGCAGCCCAGGTTGGCCTTGAACTCAGTATGTGGTGCAGCCTGGCCTTGAACTCATGATGTTCCTGCCTTATGGTCTTGATTGCTGAGGCCTGCAGGCACGTGTATGCTCAGCAAGACCAAACATTTGTTAGGTTTTTTCGTAATTACGTAATTATCAATTCATTATAAAAACCTACATATATAATGCATACTTCATTGGAAGTCTTTTAAAATATATTCAATATGAAAATATAGAAAGAGACATCTTTGTTGTTTTTTGTTTTTGGTACCAGGAATCAAACTCAGGACCTTGTGCTTGCCAGGCCAGTGCTGTGCTGCTGAGCTAAATCCCCCACCTGAAAGGAGTCATATCATTACCTTTTTTTGTATTTTAGGGACGGATCTACAGGGTGTTCAGGGTCTCACTATTAGATTGGACTCATAGTGATCCACCTGCTTACAGCCTCCCAAGAGCTGGGCTTACAGGCACACACCACCACACCCAGTCTCTTTGCTCCACTGTGCACAGTTTCAAGGCCAGCATGGCATGTGGCACTGAGGATTGAACCCAGGTCCTTGCACTTGCCAGGCAGGCACTTAGACCACCGAGCTATCTCTCTAGCCTCTCCAAAGCCTCTCTTCCTTGGCTGTCTTAACCCCTGGTCTCTTGTAGGTCTATATGTGTTTGGTTGAAACAGCAATGGTCACACTCAGATGTGAGTCATCCACTGCCTTCATCTCCCCACTTCACACCCACCTGTTCTTCTTAGCAATCGGAGGCCTAACTGTGTCATATGGTTTGGACAAGCGGCCAGTTCAGGGAACAAGGAGACCGGCAGAAATTATGAACACTGGAGTCACTGGGGTTATGGATTACAAATCTGTGTGACCTCTTAGGAGCACGAGCTTTTGAACTCCCATCCAGAGGTCAAAGGTTGGATGTAAAATTCTTTAATATTTCACCCAGATCCTGTTCAGAAAAGGGCCAGGGCCATGCCCTGGCGGGGCTTATGGCTCAGCACAGCCAGGCCATTATTTCTTGATGCATGGTAACCATGTTATAAGACGTATTTTGTATTGAAAGTGATCCATCTCATTAAGTCACTAAGGTATCCAGGCCGTAATTTGTGATTTTCCTGCGACAAGCTTCCCAGAGCGCTAGGATTAGAGGTGTGTGCCACCACGCCTGGCAGGCCAGTGCACCTGTTGTCACTCCTATATTTTGGTGTTTATACCTGACACTAAATCAGACCTACTCATAGTGTTAGGTGAGAGGGAAAAATAGGTCTACGTTCACCCCAGTGGTCTGACGGGGATCATACCACATGTATGACAAAGGATAATTTATTCTTTGGACAAAGATGGATGCCAATAGTAGTGCGTTTTGGTTTACTACAAACTGTTGATTTTATTCCATGCAGAGAAGACTAAAGAAAACATTATCTGTGTATCATTTTATATAATAAAATTATGTTTTAGATTCTTATATAATGATTAATTTCTTGGGGATTTTGCTACGGAATACAATTGGCTAAGGCAATTTCTTTTGCTTTCCTCTTTTTTTTAGAGGGAGGGGCTTGAACCCAGGGATGCTGTTCCAACTGATTTTTTTTTTGAGATAGGTTTGCCAACTTGCCCAGGCTGGCCTAGAACCTGTGATCTTGCTGTCTCAGGCTCCCAAGTAGCTGGGATCACTGGCACAATCCCCTACTGGACAAATTCATTTTCTTGATCAGACAGAAGTATCACTAGTTTAGTAAACTGTAGTATATATTGCCTGCTCTCTATCAAAATAGAACTTTTTTTTTTTTTTTTTTTGGATTTTAGGGAAGGTTCTCCAGGGTATACGGGGTCTCACTACTAGACTGGACTTGTAGTGATCTGCCTCTTTACAGCCGCCCAAGAGCTGGAATTACAGGCGTGTGCCACCATGCTCAGTCTCAACCGCCATCTGACCCATGTGCTGGTGGCGGGGCCAGCACAGTAGGCCTGGAGATCAAATCCCCAGCCCCTGAGCCTGCTTGTAGGTGCTTTAATCTGCTGAGCTATTTGGCTGGCTCTTCAAAACAGAATTCTTTTCTGGGTGCTTTTTATGCTTTCCTAAAAATCCCTTAAGTCAATGACTTGAAATAAAAAACTATAGCAAGTAGGAATATATTTTATTTGAAAGTAAAACTGAGGGGGAAATGGCTCAGCAGAATAAGTGCTTCCCTGGCAAGCGCCAAATGCAAGGGCCTGAGTTCAATCTCTGGTTCCGCGGGGAAAAAAAAAAAAAAGAAACAAAATTAAACTAAACTAATACCAGAAATGGTAAAAAGTATCTTCCCCTATCTTTTGTTGCTGCCAGTTACATTATAAAATATTGTGTAAAAAAATATTGTGTAGTATATGTTTTTAGATTAAGAAAACAATTTCAGGGCTTTCAATTTTATTTATTTATTTATTTATTTTTTAAATATTTATTTATTTATTTATTTATTTATTTATTTATTTTGTGTGTGGCCAGCTCAGCCCACCAGGGGGCGGGGCTGGCTGGCATGTGGTGCTGGGGGATTGAACCGCGGTCCCTGTGCTTTGCTTAGCTTAGCTTGTTCTAAATAGGTGCTTTAGACCACTGAGCCATCTCACCAGCCCGTGGGCTTTCAATTTTATACTGGTAGCAAATACCCTCACACTACAGATTAAAAATTTCTAAAATAATTTCAGTAGATTCCACAATTTTTAAGAAGTCCTAGCTAAAATTTTTGAACATTACTAAAAATATTTCTCCAAGTTCTCCATGACTAGATATCTAGGCACAGGCTAAACTTTTTTTTTTAGTATTTATTTATTACGTACAGGGTCTCCCTAAGTTCAGACTTCTAGCGGTCCTCCTGCCTTAGCTTCCTCAGCACTGGGTTTATAGGTGTGCACCACCATGTCCTGTCTTGGGGCTGGCACGGCAGGCAGTACCAGGGATCGAACCCGGGTCCTTGTGCTTCCCAGACAGGCGCTTAGACAGCTGAGCTATCTCCCCAGCCCCAGGTTAAAGTTTTATTTACTTTTTATTTTCTTTTTTGTTTTTACTATTTTCTTTTTTGGTTCTGGGAATTGAACTCTGGGCCTCATGCTTGCTATACTTTTTTATTTAAAAAAAATGCTCTTATGATACTATTGATAGAAATACCAGGGAAGAGAAAAGGAACTTTTTCTCTCAGCAGTACTGGGGATTGAACTCAGAGTCTTTGCCCTGAACCACACCCTCTGCCTTTTCCTAAATTTTTATTTTGACACAAGGTCTTCCCGAGTTGCTAAGTTGCTCATGCTGGGCTCAAATTTGAGATCCTCCTGCTTCAACCTCCCAGACTGCTGGGACATAGGCATGCACCATCATGCCTGGTCTAGCTCTTCTTTTAATTATTGTTAGGGATTATCTGATTCTACATTAAGAAGTTCTGCTATCATAAAAGTATCAGTATCTAAATTATTATTATGGATAAAATCTGTGACTCATTATAATATTACATATGTTTCAAATATAACTGTCTTATGCTATTAAAGGATCAGGATATCCAGATCAGGTTAAACACATACAGAGAAAACTAACAAATTACCTCCTACAATTTTAATAGTTATTAAAAAAAGATACTAACTCTTTTTCTTAGAGTACAGAGTTCTAAGCAATTTCCAAACTTAATGACCCTAGCCAGGCATAATGGTGCATACCTGGAATCCTAAGAATCAGGAGGCTGAGGCAGGCAGGCTGCCATGAGTTCAAGGCCAACCTTGGCTATGTATTGGGTTTAAGGCCTGAACATGATAGCAAGATTTTGTCTCAAAAAACCTGAAAGCAAAGCAAAACAAAACAATCCCCCAAATTAATAGCCCCAGTAAAAATAAAAATAAAAGAGATCATAATGTTAAAACTTTGAAATTCTGCCAGGCCCAGGAAATTCTGGAGGAGTAAAAACAGGGCTTTGGCGTGATATATGCCAAGGTGCAGTGGATGGACTCACCTCTCCACAGTCACTTCGGGTTGGTGCGAGGTGACCACGTGTGGGCTAGTGGCTGGTTCTCCACTTGCTGGCGAGTTTGCCCTACACGGAAGTACAGCTTCCTCTGTGTGTAGCAAAGGAGAGAACAAGGTTGCTAACACTCTCGCATTGAACCCAGCGCCCCAAGAACCACCACACTCAGATTATGTTCTGACTGAGTCACTTCAATTCTTACCTCATTTTCCTCATGGGTACTGGTACCTACCCCATGGGCTACTGTGAAGAGTAAACAGAGCACTACATGTGGAGAACCCAGAACAGCTCTTACCCCATTGCGAGGGATGAAATACATGCTACTGTTACTTCTGTTTACACTAAATTGGCTGTGGACAGAAAGTAAATAGTGAAACCACAGCATCTGATGAGGACAGCCGTAAGCAGACTTGATTGGTTGGACTCCAGACATCTCCCCAGAGGCAGCCACAGCAATCGCCATAGATACCAGAAGTGGTACAAAAGATTCTTACAAACTCAGCTTAGATCTAGCTATGTATTATTTAGAACGATGAGGATTTCTTTTTCTTTTCTTCCTGTATTTTAGGGAAGGGTCTACACGGTGTTCAGGGTCTCAACTACTAGATTGGACTCGCAGTGATTCTCCTGTTTACAGTCTCCCAAGTGCTGGGATTACAGGCATGTGCCACCACGCCGTCTCAGTGCGCCGTGGGGGTGGGGCCAGCAGGGCAGGCCCGGGGATTGAACCCCTGCCCCTGAGCCTGCTTGCAGGTGCTTTAATCCGCTGAGCTATTTGGCTGGCCCTTCAAGTTTCTTTTTTTTTAAAAAAAAACTTATATCACATTTATACAAGTGCTGATAAACATGGGCCTATCAAAGTTCAACTTCTTTCTTGCCTTTGTTTTGTTTTGAATTGAGCACAAAGAGTATTCAAAGAACAAATGGGAATAACAGGAAGGGGTAAAATGAGAACCAAAGTGAGGCCTCAGCCAGACAGACTGTGGCCTCAGCCCCTCTGATCCTCCTCTGGGCCAGGGCACAGCTCATGGGGATGCTCTGATGACTCGCTTCAGCCCGCAGTGACTAGGAAGTTCTCAGAGCATGCTAAAATGCAACCGGATTAGCAGGCAACCACTGGATTGTTTGCCAAGCAAGTGTTAACTATGACATCTATAAAAGAGCATGAAAGCCCCACCATAAAGGAATCATGCCATGCAGAAACAATAAAAAAAAAAAAAAAGAAAGGAAAAAGAAACAACAATAGTCTCTACTAAAATAAACCAAATGCCAGTCATGGCTTATACCTCTAAACCCCTAGATTTAATGTTACTTGATGCAATCATTTGGTTTCATCTTTGAGTCAGCCCCGTGGGGGAACTCTGAACTTTGTTTTGAAACAGAGAAATAAGCAGATGGACAGCTGGCCCTGTCTTTTCAGAATGACTGCAAATGAGCAAAGAGCACTGACTGGGGAGCTATCTACACACTACCTATCACACCATCCAGGCGGCCCTGCAGAAGAAGCTGGTGCACTGGGTGCCAGCCGCCTGGGCTTAAGCACCCCCTGGGGAGGAGGCTGGCCAGCACGCAGAAGGGCTTGTTGGCTCCAAGAGAAAGCATCTTCTATCTTCCAAGACTGCAATGGAAATTAAGGGAATGTATGGAAGACTGGCCAGGGGTGGCAACACACGCTTGTAATCCCAGTACTCTGGGAAGCTGAGGTGGAAGGAATGCCAATTGTGAGCCCAGCCTGCACAACTTAGTGACTTAGGGAGAACCTGCTTTAAAATAAAAAATGTTGGAGATGCTGCTCAGTATAAAAGACTTGGGTTCAATCCTGGCATCCCCTTTGCCTTCCTGAAGGGGACACCAGGCTGAAAGATGTATGTGATGCAAAGGGCATTTTAACAACATTAAATGGATTGGAGCAATAAAAGAAGACTAATTTCATTTTTTAAAATGACAGTTGAAGAAACCAATGATTTCAAACATTAGGGCATAAGAACAACTTCCAAATAAATTTCAATAACTTTTCTACTTCATATGTAAAAACAGAATTAAAAGAAAGGACTTTGTTTTGAGGAACCAGCGATTAAACTCACGACCTTGCGCTTGCCAGGCAAGCACTTATTCTACTGAGCTATTTCCCAGGCCCCCTAAGAAGGGACTTTTAAATCTTTCTTCTGAGGATTACCATAAATACATGTTGTCAAAACGTGTAAATGTAAAGGCTTTATGGAAAACTGCGAAGGCAGTCTCCCCAAAGTTTCTTTGAGGCACCCCGTGGGCCTGTTTTCACCCTTACCACTAACCCTTGAACAGACTGATCTCCAAAGTGAATTTAAGCATTTTCTATGTCAAGAGCTATGAGAAATACCTGATCCTCCAGCAAGAGCTCCTTTGGCTATGTCACCATTTCTCTGGTCAACGGTTTTCTACCAAAAACAAAAAACAGCAAAAAAAGGAGGCTTTAAAAAATTTTAAAGTGAAAGTAAAGAGAGTTTCGAGTACTTGCCTTGCTTGCCCAAGGCCCTGGGTTCAACCCCCACTATGGGAGTCAGGGAAGGTGAAAGAAAAAAATTATCAGAGCCCTCCAGGGTAGTTAGCAAAGGGCCCTCGGTACCTTCTCTGCGCCTTCTGTCCTCCTGGTTCTCTTCATGATCTCCTCAAGCCGCTGCAAGAAGGGGGAGCGAGTGAGAGCACGCCCACCTGTCATCTCATGCAGCTCAAGGCCTTTAGCTGGCTTCCCACTCAGAATTAACCAGGCAGCTCGCGGGGCTCTGCCCCGCGACGGTACCTTCTTGCGCTCCAGGCGCTCCTGCTCCTCTCTCTGGAAGTGTTTCTCCCGTTCCTGCCGGACCCTCTCAGCTTCCTCCCGAACCCGGGCTTCTTCTTCCTTCTGCAAACAAGAAGGGGTGTCGGCACCGAGGCTGTTTCCACCCGGGATCGGGTGCCACCCACCCCCGCACGCCACTGCAGGGGCTGGGCCGGACGCACCTGCTTCTGGGCGCGCTCGTTCTCCGCGCGCTCCCGCTCCAGGCGCAGCTGCTCCTCCTTCTGGGCCTGCTCAGCCTCCAGCCTGCGGGCCTCCTCCTCCCGGCGGGCCCGCTCCTCCGCCACCCTGAGAGCCAATTGCTCCTTCTTCTGTCTGGAGAAAGAAAAACAGAGACACGTGAGGGGGATGCCCAGAGGTCAGGCCTGAGTCCATAGGCAACGCATGGAGAACTCCTTGTGGTCCAGCGGGAAACACCTGCTTGGGTGTGTTCATGGTCAAGGACAAAATGGGAAGTCATGCTTTGTTTTTTGTCCTCCCTTCCCAGCTTCTGTGGGCCTGTGGTAATAAACCGAAGCAAGATGGAACCGCTGATATTTTGGGGAGCTATGATTTAACTGCGTGTATCTTTAAAGGTTGAGACTTGCCCCATGAGCTGGCGCATGTCTGTGATCCCAGCACTGTGGGAGGCTGAGGCAGGAGGATTATAAACTGGAGTGTGGACAATGTAGCGAGACTGTCTCAAAAACTAAAATCAAAGGCTGGCGATGTAGCTCAGTGCAAGACCCTGGGTTTAGTCTCTAGCACTGCCTACAAAAACCAAAGTAAAAAGAACTATACTAAGAATAGGGAGATAGATATTTTGTAAAAGGGAAGGGAGCCAAGATATAGGGTGGGGGGCAGGAGGACAGGATAAGAAAAGAATTAAGGTGTGTTTGGTACATGTTCCAACTCTCCACAAGCAGAGTGATCATTATATACTGACAACATAAAATAAATAAATACATAAACAAAGGGCCTGGCCCGATTGCTAGGTGGACTAAAGCGCCTGCTTAGGGAGATGCAGGGGCCAGGATTCGATCCCCAATGTGCAGAGTGGGCCTTCCCTCCAGGGTGCACCCAGACAGCGATTGGATTGAGGCTGGGCATGGTGGCGCGCGCCTGTAATCCCAGTGCTTGGGAGGCAGAAGACAGGAGGATCACTATGCCTGGGATCCACGTGGTGAAACCCTGCAGACTCTGTACTAAATACATAACCCCTCCCCGCAAAAAACCTCAAAAAACAAAAACTTGTAGTGATATGAGCCAGAAGCTTACTGTCCTGAGGGAGTAAGGAACAAAGCACAGAGCCTAAGCAAACCAGCCCCTTGAAATTCTGGTAGGGCTGGAGACAAAGTAACAGATTCCTGGAGAAGGCGCCTGACTGTTCTAGTTCCTTTACCTGGGAAGTTACCAACCAGTGATATGTAGACTTCAGAGTTTGGTGAATGCGCAAAGGGGATGTAAACAGCAGTTTGTTTACACCAAATTAGTTACGCACATTACTTAGCCTGTTTTAGCCCAATAAATGTGAGAAGTTTTGGTGGTGCCAACTGGTATGGGACTAAGCTCAAGTGGCTGTATTAATCCAGTTTTCTCCTTGTTTCTTTTGGCTCTGGCTGATAACACACAACAAAACTTTAAAAACTTAAAAAAAAAATTAAAGCCTCAGACTTGTATAACCCACATGATGGCACTTTTTAGTGACAAATTTGAAGTATCCCACTGCGGAAGAAAATCTTTGTAAGTAAATAAGGTTACTATGTTCCCCCCTAGGAACAGGAGGGACAAAGCCCACACTAGGGCTCCACTGGATAAGACGCAGGCTGTGTCCACGGAGGAGGCCCACCCGGGAGCAGCTCTATTTGTCTGAAGAACGATGATATTGACATTAGCCTTATTAGGGCCAGAAGGTGACGGAGAAAGTAAACCGTCCCAAGCATACTGTCTGGCAGTCATGGAGTGCTTAAATCTCACACTGCTCCCTGAGAGATTTACCTGAAAGAAAACATGAGTATTTATTATGTGGCTTTAAAATGATAACTACACAGCTAATAAAAACCTAAGACTGGAGATTCGGTAAGTAAAAACGGAGACCGCAGAAGGGCATCTCTGCTTTGATTATAATCAGGTAAGTATGTATTTCCTTACGTGCGTCTGTGTACGTACCCATGACCTTCTCACACCTTTCTAGATGGTTCAGACTAGTAAGGGCCAGCCAAAATTACACAACTAGGGAGGTCTGTAAGACTATGAATATAGCTTTTTGAGATGAGGTTTGGCTCTTCCTGTGTAGTTCAAGCTGGCTTTAGATTCACTATATAGGCCAGCCTGGCTTCAAATTGCAGTGATCCCCCTGCCTCAGCCTCTTTAGTGGTGGGGTTATAGGAATGTGTCCTATGCTTCGCCACATTTTCTTCTTTAAACCTTTCTCCACCATTACTGCACTGTCACTAGTAAGAAAATGCAATTCAAAGGGTTTTTCTTGGTTAAGGAACACTAGGCCAGCTGTTCTGAAAGGTTCCCTTTTGTCACATTGCCACTCTCTTCTTCAGGTGGAAGACTTCACACAAGGCACCACTGATGTCCTGTCACCATCACCCCTCTCTTTACCTTTCCAACTCTTCTTTCTCCCTCTTCTCTCTTTCCTCTTTTTCTCTCTGCTCTCGGGCTAGCCGCCTCTTCTCAGCCAGTAGCCGTGTGGCCTCTTCAGGGTCCGTGGTGCCTGCGGAGACCTTAGGAGCAGCACTGGTGGTCATAGTGGACGGTGCAGCAGGGACAGAAGCTGGGGCTGGGAGTGTGGCAGGGACAGCAGCTGGAGCTGAAGCTGGAGCTGGAGTCAGAGCTGGAGCTGGGGCCGGGGCCGGGGCCGGAGTAGGCGCCTGCGCTGGAGCAGCTGTACAAACAGGTATAAGAAGAAACCCCGTTGGAAACAAAACCCAAAGAACATAACAAAAACTAGCATTCTCACTAGAATTAATCATTATCGAAGGGCATGTTTATTACTGTGTGTTCTCACGGTTTCACTGTATCCTATCTGTAACCAAGCAACAGGTAACAAAAAGCTGTGTGTATGTGAGACCCGACAAAGCTTACACTCTGTCACCAAGCCTGATTGTAACGGTGGTCAAATCAGTTAGCAACATCTAGCAAACAGGTACACAGAGTGGGGAGCCTTGTGTTAGATTCAGCGGCCAAGTGAAGATGTGAGCTTTCGTGTGTTTTTCATGACATTAAAAAAAAAAAAAAAAAAAAAATTCCTGCTCTTGGGTGACGATTTGTTAGCGTCAAGCTGAAGTCTTCTCTATGTTCATCCTCAGCATTTATGTCCCAGGTTGATTCAGGCCCTTTCAGACAAAAGCGTCCTGGAGCTGTCTTCAGGTCTGGGACATGGGTTTGTCAAGGGCATGCATGTGGCCTATGCTCCATCCTCACTCCACCCAGCAAGAGAGGATCGGATGTTCTCTGACTTCACTGGGATGGAGGGAGATGTGGGAGATGGTCCAGGAGGCACCCACACACTCTTGTGCCTGACTGAGCACCCTTGGGCTTTGAGCTGTGGCGCCTGGCCACTCTCAGCCCTCCTTCTTCCATTTACATTTCTACTTCTGCTCCTGAGAACTTTTATCATCTGATATTCTTGGGCACTTTCCTATTTTCATGAAGGCAAATGCTGGACCTTTCTACTCTCTCAACACTGTCATCTGTCTTGAACCAATTATTCTTTCTTTGCCCCTATCTTTGACCTGCAGTCTCAAACAGAAATATTTTGAATGAAAATAGCTTTTAACAAGAAAGTATTAAACTCCCAAGTCTAATGATGCCAGTTTCCTAAATAGAATCTGGCTGGCTTCACAGAACCACTGGGTGTTCTGGGAAAAACCTTCGACCTCTGTTAAGTGCACAGGGTAAAGCCGGTGGTCTTCAGACTCTTGGGTGCTCCGGAGTCAACCAACAGCACAGTACCTGTCAGGGTCCTGGGACCCCCACCTCCTGTTCTGATCCAGCAGGTGTGAGGTGAGGCCAGGGGGCTGCATTTCAAAAGAAAACTCAAGGGGATGGCTTTTAAAAATATTTCCATAAATTCTTTCAAAAGTTTTCCTTCAAGAGGTTGCGCCTGACACCCTGTCTTTAAGCATCCGTTCAGCCTAGTGACTTCTCATGAGTAGAGTATGACAGAAACACTGGCATGTATCTCTGAGACTGACACAATGGTTTCTCATTCTCACCACTCGGAGGCTAGCTGGGCAAGCAGGTTGTGAGGACAACAGTAACAAGGTCTACATGTCACAAAGCACAGGTCACTAGCCATGTGCAGAAGCCACTCTCTGCTGAGTCTAGAGACGGCATTTTGTTATGTAGTTTACACTGACCTTGGACTCACTATGTAGCCTAGACTGGCTTTGAGCTCATGGTGATCCCCCTGCCTCAGCCTCCCAAGAGCTGGGATTATAGGTGTGCACCACCACACCCGGTTATACTCTACTGGGTCGTGAGATGACTGTACCCTGAGAAGACAGCTCAACTACAGTCCATGGGAGACCCTGGGCCACACCCCAGTTAAGCTCTCCCCCAATTCCTGACCCAACAACCCACGTGCAATAAATGTTTTGATGTCTCAAAGCTATGAAGACTGGGCTCCTTTTTTACACAGCAATGGATAACTTTTATAACAAACAATGCTCTGTCTGCCACATTTTTTGTGAAGCCGTTAAGGACCCAGCACCATGTCTGATTGAACACACTGTGGGTCGAACATGTATTTCTGGATATATGGATATAACGAAAAATATATTTAAGATCCTCAAGTGGACCTCAGAGTAGGAAGAGAAGAAAAGCTAATAAAGCAAAAAATGAGAAGAAGAGCAAGGGTGCAAAGGAGCGGAGCCCACGTCCCAGCATGAGCCGGGTCCTTCTCACCTGTGTCAGCTTCGGGCTCCACAGGTGTGGCCTCTTCAGCTGTGGCTTCTGCAACCTTCACTAACGGTGCTCTGCCCCTCAGCGAGGGCTCATTGGCAGCGGTCTGAGGTTCCCTCTCAGGGTCTTTTTTCTCAGGTTCCACTTTGGCTTCTTTCTTGCTAGGGCGGATGTTGCCAGGGGATGGGGGCCGGGCCTGAGCAGGGGCAGCTTTCACCGAACCAGGAGGCAAGGAGGATGCCGGTCGGGGTGTGCCAGGCAAGTGTGGGAAGGACTTGGAGGGGAGCCTGGATGGCAGACAATGTGGAGATAGGACGTCAGGGCAGGTCATCGCCTGGGTCACCGGGTTACATAAAAGCAGCGCCGACAGCTAGCTACATGCACTTGTTTTTCATGTGGTAAATGCAGGTACAACTGGAGTCACTCCAGAGACCCATTCCACTGTTTCCCTTTTTCTACGTTTTAAGGAAGACTGTTGAGTCAGGTGTGGTGGGACATGCCTGGAATGCCAGCTACTTGGGAGGCTGAGACAGAACTGTCACAAGCTTCAGCCAGTCTGGGCCTTTTTTTTTTTGGTATCATAGATCGACTGAGCTATCTCCTCAGCCCTGGGCCTCTTTACCAAGAGCTTGCCTCAAAATAGAAATTAAAAAGGGCTGGTGATGTAGCTCAGTGGTAGAATTCTTGTCTAACATACAGGTGGTTGTGGGTTCAACCCCAGTACTGAAAAAATAAAAGGCTATTATTCCTTAAGTCAAAGCCAAGTTCACTGGGAGCTACAAATTCTGTACCAGGCAGCGGTTTCGTGTGTTTCACTCACCAGAGTCGGGAGGGAGCTGGTGATCTTGCTTTGGGGTGAGCTGGAGATAGAGCCCTTCGGATACCAGACGTAAGGTGGAAGGGTATATTTTCTCTGTCTCTTTTATGGCCCTAAGTTCAGAGAGAATAATTAGATTTTTCCATGAGCGAGATCACAGTATTCGACAGTGGGACTATAAATTATTTCACAGGTTTGTACAAATTTTCTAAGCTATCTCACACAAATCCATTCCCTCTCCTCAAAGGGTCCTTGTTAGTTTAGAATAGTGTAACTGGATTAACACAGGCAACACTGATAAGGTGGTTTTTTGGTGAGCAGAATATATTTATTGAGGGAAAGAAAGCTCCTGTCTGAGAGAGGGACAGGAGGGGTCCCGAGCGGGTTGTCCCCGGGAGATAAGGTGTTTTGAACATGTGATTTGGATATTTGCTTTAAAAAAAATTACACTTAAGACTTTTAGAAAGTACCTGTACTTGGTGTCTGAAATTACCTGGAGCAAAACTTCAGTATGGTTTATTCTCCACAAATGTTAAAATAAAGGCACTTCTGTTTTACAAACTTTTCATTAAACACTTATTTTTCTTTTCTAGTTCCACAGCAACTTTGTTTTTAATCCCAGAGTATAATAACATAGCTTAGCAACTAAAAAAAAAATTATAAGCCTGCTATTCCTGACATTAACTTATTTTCTCCCTATTTGGATGTTACAGAAAAATTCCTTCTTCAGCTAATATCCTCTAAGGAAATTCAGAGACACGGTGAGCATTGTTCGATATTTATACTTTTCTGCATCTGCGATACAACTGAGGTCTGAGAGTGGACTAAAACACCAGTCCTTCCCAAACTGCCAGCCAGCAATTTGGCCAGAGAGACAGCATATCCTTCCAAAGTGGAAATGGGAAGAGAGAAGCCCAGAGAAATGTTCTGAAATTTTATAATCAATCCAGACTCCACCACTCAGTATGCACAGGGCAAACTTGACCCATTCCAGGATCCAAGCACCCAGAACTTTCTATTGTGTTCTGGAACAGGAATGGAGCCTTGTGAGGGGCACATGGTGAGCACCTGCCCGGGAAGCAGACCAAGAAGACAGAGGGAAGGGATAAAAAATTATCTAGTTTCAGGGTAAAAAAGTGGGTAGTATATCTTTTTTGCCCTCCTTTCTCAAGCATCAGTTCTTCTTGCCTTCCCCTTTATTCTCCTGATGTCCCATCTGATGGCTTTTCTCCATCTTCCTCAGCAGTATCCTAGTGGACTGACTGGGAAAAGGAGGGGAAAGACAGCTAAGGGTCAAGTAATACTCACTGTCCCCCTGGAGTTTCTACACAGAAGGGTACATAGGCAGGAAGGAGCATCACAGAGTGGGTGCTGGCTTCACCCCACCTCTGGGTAAGGTGCCTGACCACCCTGTCACTCTCTATGATGCCAAAGGTAGGAGGTAGAGCCCGGCGGAGTGGGTGATGTTTTTGGGCAGCAAAAGCTAGAGCCGTCATATAGGACCTTCCAGTCTGGTTCCCAAGTTGGCAATTACACCTTGGGTAGGACAGCCCCCAGGTAGGCCCAGGGCTCCTCCTAAGGGAATTTAGGATTAAAGAACCCTAGCGGTCTCATTTTGTTTGTTTTGTTTTTCCTTAAGATATTGCCATGTGGCTGAAACCAAATCAAGGAGATATAAATGAGAAATACAATTTATGAGTGCAGAGCTGGGGGAAGCCTTTATCTATGCTTTGCTGATACAGAGACCAGGGCCCTCAGATACAGCTCAGCGGGACACTGGGTAGCCTGTGGGAAGCCCTGTATTTGATCCCCATCCCCAGAGAAACAAAATGAAGCAAACAGGAGGAAAAACAAGAGACATGAATAATGGAATGGCCCTGCATAAAAAAGACAGTCTTCATTCTATCAGCTGCCAATTACTTCTAAGTCTCCTAGGTGAAAGCCGGTCTCCTTTAACCACGTAGGGTCTGGAGGAGCAGGGGCAGAATGGTTTGGGAAAGAGTACTGAGATACCACCTCCCAAGCAGGTGTAGTGTTCTTTCGCCTCCTATGTCCCTTCACTGCTCTTAAGTGGGTGGCCTCTCTGGGCAGCCCACAGCGAAAGGCACCCCGACTCTCAGCCTGACCAGAGTTAGTGCCCCACAGCCCGTCGTCCAGTCACCTTTCCTCTTAACACTGTCCAAAATGCTGAGGGGAAGTTTACAATTTTGGAAATGAACAAGGCTGGAGGCTTTATACTTCTTGATTTTGAACCATATAAAAAAAGCAAACAAACCTGTATTACTCAAAATACTCAACAACTGGCATACAGACCAATGAGACAGAACAGTGAGCCTAGAAATAGGGCTATTTATGTATTTGTTAAAATCCCAAGATCACTCAAAGAGAAAGAACATGCCCTTCAACAAATGTGCTGGGAAAACTGGATTCACAAGATAAAGACATTGGACCTTTGCCTTATATAACATACAAACATAAACTCAAAGTGGATTACATGTCTTAAAAATTACAAAACTTCTGTAGAAAACAGAGGCAGTAAACTTCACCTCACTGGATGTGGTTCTGTCTGAACAACAAAAGCATAGCCAACAAGGCCGAAAAGAGATAAATGGAAAACATCAAACTTAAAAATTTCTATACATCAAAAAACATAAGCACTCATAGAGGCTGAGGCAGGAGGAACGCAAGCTCAAGTCCAGCCTGGGCTCTCAGTGATCTGGCGAGACTCTGTCTCAAAATAAAAAATAAGGGTCAGGGACGCAGCTCTGTTCAGCTTTCAGGACTGTGAAAAAGAATAACAACCAAAAGATAGGACACAGTAAAAGCCTACGAAGTATGAAAAATATGTGTAAATCAAACACAGGAAGCTAATGTTCAGAAAATATAAATGACTTCTACAATTCAACAACAAGCAACTTGATTAAAAAATGGGTGAAAGACTTTAGGAAACAGCTCCCCAAACAGGATAACGGCCAACATGCCTCACAGCAAGCTTGCAACATCACCTCACCCGAGGGAGATGCAAGGCAAAGCCACAATGAGCTAAGTAACTTTTAAGATTATGGTACACATGGGCTGGGAGATAGCTCGGTGGTCTAAGTGTGTGCCTGGCAAGTGCAAAGACCTGTGTTCGGCTCATGGTACCACATGCTGTGCTGGCCATGGAACGCTGGGCACCCCTGCCAGCCACTGAAACCAGGAGTGGTGGCCCACGCCTGTAATCCCAACAGTGGGGAGGCTGAGACAGGAGGATCACCATGGGTCTGAAATGAATAGTGAGACCTTGTATCCAATTAAAAAAAGAAAAAAAGATTATGGGACACAGTGTATCTACCAACTACTGTCATTTTCTATCTTGTTAAGAGGGGGCCTGCCTCTTACTTAGCTCAGTTCTTTAAGTGGCTGCTTCAACAAAGCAGTCAGGCTCAGGTTGCTGTGGTTCGATCCCCACAACTCAAGCCAGCCAAATATGCCCTGAAGGCATTTGGAGAAAAAAAAATCCTTATCTTGTTAAGAAATTTTGATTTGTTTTTTCATAGAAGAGTACTTCTTTTATTTTCTTTTTAATATCTACTTGTATTACATTAAAATTAAAAAAGAATAAAAATCAAAGTTGCTGAGACGATTCAAGAGGGAAAGGTTTTCTTTTCAAAAAACCCAGTTGGAGGAATTATGCATCCAAATTAAAAAGAAAAAAAAATTCTAGGGGCCGGGGAGATGGCTCAGTAGAACAAGCATTTGCCTGGCAAGCACAAAGGCCTGAGTTCAATCCCCGGTTCCGGGGGTGGGGGTGAGGGTGGGGGTGGGGGTGGAATTCTACCTCACATTGTGCACAAATTAAATCAAAACTGATGCACTTGAACACTTCCTAAGTAAAATTATAGAACTTCAAAAAAAATTACATTTTAGGCATTATAAAGCTATATGAAGCATCCTCTTACAAACTGAAGACCATGAGTTATCACTTCACACCCATCAGAATGGCTATCGAAATAACACATTGGTGGTAAAAACATGCAGAATCGTGGAAAATTCCCTTACGCTTTGGTGGGAATGCAAACTGGTGTAGTCACTATAGAACAGGGGGGCGATTCCTCAAAAACTAAAGCAGTTACCGTGTGACCCTCACTCCCTCTTCCAGGTACATAACCGAGAGAATGGGACTCAGTATCTCCAAGAGGCATCTGTGTACCCACGTTCATACCCATGTTGGATATCAAAATGGAAAACCACCTTCATGTACCTCATCAGATGAACACAAACCCAACATATGACCCACACGTACAATGAAATGTTATTTAGCCATAAAAAGGAAGGAAGTTTGCCAGGCACAATGGTGCTCACCTGTAATCCCAGCACTCTGGGAGCTGAGGCAGGAGGAGGATCTCGAGTTCAAGCCTGGGCAATTTAGTGAGACTTCATTTCAAAATAAAAATGAGAAAGGGCTGGGGATGGGGTTTAATGCTAAGGCCCTGAGTTTAACCTTCAGCAACAAGAACGACAACAAAATAGGAAAGAAATTCTGACACACACTGCAGCAGGAATGAATGCTGTTGACAACCTTATGCTAAATGAAATAAGGCAGTCAGAAAAATTTAATTATTTCATGAATCCACTTTGATGAAGTGTCTAAAAGCCAAAGTGCCAGAAACAGAAAGTAGAATGGCAGCTGCCAGGGGCTGAGGGGAAAGAAGTTGTTTAATGTGCAGAGAGGTTGAGCTGTGTGAGATTTTATCTATTTTGCATGCAAGATCTTAAAAGTTCTAATTGGCTGTATTACAATGTGAATGTACTTGACATCGAACTTAGAAAATGACTGTTTTTTAAAACCACAGATATATTACTGTTTGGAGACAGGGTCTGACTGTGTGACCCCGGAGGGTTCTGTCTCAGCTGCCTGAGTGCTGGGATTACATGTAAGTGTCACGACATCTGCCTAAACATTTTTTAAAAATTTAAAATTCAGCACAGCCTGTAACCCTGCATGCCGAGAGGCTGATGTAGGAGGATAGCAAGATAAGTCTTGTCTGGGTGAGTTCCTATCTCTAACTAATAAATAAAAAAATGGGCAGAGAATATGGCCCAGGGTGAAGGCCAGGGGCTCAATCTGCAGTATGAAAAAAGAAATCAGTGTGTCAGCATCATTTGCCACTTTGCAAGCGCTCATTGTGACCAGGCACGGCTGAATTCTGCGGCACAGCTCCAGGAGCCAGGCTCTGACCTTCATGTAGCTAAAGATTTGGCTGCAGAGGTTAGGGTGAGCACACACAGAGAGGAAGGCATTGAAAGAAAACAACGGAGCTTGGGATACGGGCTCACAGGCATCTCTTCTGCGCTTAGCCCTGGGCCTGCCAGCCTTCTGATTCTCTCCAAGCAGTGTTCATTTTTGGTTTTCCGTAAAAAAAGATACTTTTCCTTCAATAACTGCTCTTCTTCTCTGCTCCAGAAGCATCCCAAATGGATGCACTTCACTGCTACTTTCTGTGTACAGTGTGAATCTCTGTCACACCCACAGGCTAAAGAATCCAAACTTTGCAGAAGCTGCAGTGGCGGCGCACACCTATGATCTCATTTGGCAGGCAGCTCCCAAGTTTGAGGCCAGCTTGGGCAACTTAGTGAGACCCTGCCTCAAAAAATAAAAAGGGGTGAGGCTGTAGCTCAGTGGCAGACACCCCTAGGTTCAATTTCTAGTACTGCAAAAGCCAAAATACCTAAAACTTTGTGGACTACAACGGTGGTTTCACCTTTGGCTTATTTTCCTTTTTTTTCAGGAACGGGGATTGAACTCAGACCCTTGTGCATGCCAGGGAAGCACTTATTCTACTAAGCCATCTCCCTGGGCCCTCACTTTTGGCTTAAAGCACGACAGGCTTGATGGGGCCTGAAAGAACACCACCTATAGACAAAGCCTCAAATTCTCTCAAACCCTTGAATTATCCTTTAAGCAAAATCCTCTTAAAACATCAGGAGCTTTCTACATCAGAATTGCTCTTGGAAGGTAAAATTAAAAAAAAAAAAAAAAAGTTGCAACCCTTCATTCCAAGGGCCACACTATTATCATGACAGGGCGATGAGATGGGTGGATGGGTGAGTCCTTTAAGGCTAAGCACAGGGTCTGAAGGCCACAGAACAATGCCTTCATCTCTCAACAGATGCAAAATAAACACATAATTTAAAACAAAGATGCAGAAAGATTCCAGGAGACGAACAAATTACCTCATTGCATTTACAGCTCGGTGATTAACGTTAGCTCAGCTTCCTTGCCAGTAATAACAAGTACAAATTATATTTCTCACTTGCAAAACTTGAGTGTATAATACAGCACTGTAGCCTTTTAAAGACTGGTTATTTAGCAAACAACTCGTGTTTTTAGAATACTTTTCCCATCATATTTTAAGATGTGGGCTTTGAGAGAGATTGGCTAATAAGCAGGACAAAAGTCCCTTATCCTGGTTTTTAGTGAGGCACACCTAAGTGTGTGGCCAGCTTCTGGATGTGGTTGGGAGACAATGGCCGGGCTCACTTTCCTGTCAGGACTTTCAGGCTTTCCTGCTTTCAAAAATGGAACCATTCTGGAATTGCCCTTATTGGTACACAGACCCCTGGAGGATAAGCCAGCCACTCCTGTACGCTTGAAACAGTTTGTATCTCCAAGTTCGAATTTTGAGGAAGAGCAAGACCCCCAATCGGAGAGGAAGTGTGTGTAGGGTGCAGGGCAGCAGTGCACGGTGAGCTCCAACCATGACTGGTGGCAAGGTGGGTGTCATGGCCGCCCTGTGCTGCACCGCACAAGACCTCAGGGCAGGCTCCGCTCTGTCCCCGTCTTGCCAGGCTGCTCCCCACTGCTACTCACCGTGGTGCCATGAACAGTCCTCCTGCGCGCAGAGCCCTCGGGCGGTGTTACAAAGAGTTTGGGTCGATCCACTGGATTTCTAGAGTGTGCAGCTTTGTAGGGCATGATGATGGGGCTGCAAGATGCTGAACGAGGACAAATGGGGATAACTAGCGTGCAGATGATTGTTTTACACACAAGAGTGCCAGAGGAGCAGTTGAAGAAAGCCAAAAGCAGGTTCAGGAAAAGGAGCAAAGCAGAGATAGAGAGAAAAGTAGGAAAGGGTGTTATTACCTAAAGGCGCCAGAACCATCACGCTCAACTCTCCTCACATCCTGTGAGTCTGGGATGTGTCCAAAAGGAAGGCATGTCCAAGTAAAAAATGCGGAATATAATGCTAGCTATGTGAATATCTACCGAAGATACAGAGGCAACCCAGGGGTTATGCAGAGCAATGGCCTTACACTCCTATGAAAAGATGGTTCTGGTAAAAATGCTACATTGGCCAAATGAGGTACCTCTTATGTGTGGGCTGGTTTATGATTAGATTTTTCTAATTAGCTTTAAGACATCATACAAGGTGGAAAGACAGGAAGCGTGCAGGCAAGCGAGATGTACTACAACTATTTCAAGAGTCAGACTTAACAGCCAGTAGGGGAGAAAAGCAAGCACAGCTGTGACACATTAAATGACCAAGTCTTACCAGGTGTTAAGACTTGCTATGCATAAGAAATAAATCCCAGAAAAGAATTCTGCGCATGTTTCAACTATTTTGAAAGGAAAACCAACACATGCTTCTGAGTTTCCCCAAAAACCATGGCACTTGATGGTTCAAAGCAGCAGCGGCGGAACATATGGGGAGATGGGATGAGACTATTTAGAATGCAAAAACAACATGAGTATGTTAGGGTTGCTAAAAATAAGTCTGGATTATGAATAGTTTTTACAGTTTTACTCAAAATGGAGTTTTTTGGGGGAGAGCCACATAGGGTCAGGTGTGGTGGCACCTGGAGGGACAAGGTCACTTGAGTCCAGGAGTTTGAGACCAGCCTGGGCAACACAGTGAGACCGCATGTTTAAAAAAAAAAAGAAGAAGCCCACATAGTGTCTGAGCATCCCCTTCAAACGAACACGCTCATTACTCTGTTTATTCTGATCCTCAACAAATTAAGTGGAAAGGTATAAGAAGTGTGGATACTAAGGCTCTAAGGTCCATTTTTATTTTATTTATTTTTATTTTTCATTTATTTACTTATTTTTTGGCATAACCGGGGATTGAACTCAGACCCTTGTGCTTGCCAGGGAAGCACTTATTCTACTGAGCCATCTCCCTGGCCCCCAAGGTCCATTTTCAGATTACACCCAGGGATCTTGCTTTCTAGCAAAAATATGACAATTAAATATGACATTTTATTAACCACGTTATAAAATGACCTTACCTGACTCTAGCCATTATAGTAATCCTTTAAAGAGACCCATATGCCAGGAAAATGTAATAGTATCAATAAGTTAAAAACTCAAAAGTTCGGAATTTATATAGAGCTTAAAATACTTAATTATTTTGGTTTATTTCATAGTCAGTTGATTAGATTGCATTTTTTGGGGGGTGGGGGAGTTCTGAGGATCAAACCCAGGGCTTTGTGCATTCTAGGCAAGTGCTCTACCACTGAACTACACTCTCCTCCCTAACACACATGTTTACTACTGTGTTCTCTTCCATTTAATGCCTCAGTATCCTCTGGTGATCACTGAATGGTCAGGACAGTAAATGAGATGGAATACTACACGCTCTTTTCCCATTTCTGTTTCTTCAAGATAGACTAAAACACTTGGAGTTTGCTCATGTCAAAGAATATGTGTCTTAGCTGGGAAACGACATAAAACTTTCCTTCTGACTTTTATGGTAAAGGAAGGATTTGCCTTGTGAAGAAGAACTTCTTGTCATTTTGCGTGTTGCAATCACAAAGGAATGTATTTGAAAACAACTTTTTCTTAAGTGCCACAACAAGGTGTTTGCATCTCCCAGACAAGGAAAGAGTTCATTAATACGAAATTCTTTCAAGTCAGTCAAATGCATTCAAGAAATAACATCCTGGCACTATGCCCTTCTGGGGATTCAAGACCAGGAGGAGATATACACAGTGCCTAGGTGCCTCCAGGGCCTGTTACGCTCGTTCAGGGATCAAGAGACCCTGAAAAACAGCTCTGCTCTGAGGCATGGGTCTGACAATGAAAAAGGAACAAAGCACAGACACATGATTTCGTTATCCAGTGGAAAATAATAATTTCAGGAGGTACCTAGGGAGCATTTCCTGAGACCACTGTGAATGCCAATGGCATCTGAGAATAAGAGGGAGTCAGACACAGAACTAAAATGGAAAGACAAGAATAATCAAAGGGAACACAAAACCCAAAAGTAACTAAAAAAGTATCTTCAAAAAGCCAACTGGAGGGGCTAGGGAGATAGCTCAGTAGAATAAGAATAAGCACTTGCCTGGCAAGTGCAAGGGCCTAAGTTCAATCCTTGGGTTCCGCCAAAAACAAAAACAACAAAAAGCCAATTGGAGGACACAGAAATACATATAATTTGAAATGGAAATGTTTGCAGATACACATAATTTTACTTCATTAAATATAAGCTTTATTAATGCAATTGGTAACAGTGATCTTGAGAATATATTAATAAAATAGGCAACTCAAGAAAAGGCTATGAACTACTTCACATTAAAATAAATTAATGCAGCAATTTGTGAAAAGGAGGACAGAAAAGTTGCCAAGACCCGACTTGCAGACAAAAAGCACCTTGACCGAGCATAACAACCAGGAGGGAGGGGCAGACGGGCAAGTACAATCAATGGGTAGGAAGTGGGGAAATGGTGTTGGAAAAGACCAGGGGAAGAGTGGGAGAACTGAGAAGAGATAGTGATGACAGAGATAGCGAAGAAGGACCATTATCAGCTTTGAAGTGGTTCTTTGGCACTGCGTGGCGTATGATGTGGGGGTTGGCATGCATGCATGCTGGCTGTGCATGTGGAGGCCCTGTGAGAAGAGTCTCAGAGGTTCCCTGACATGGACAAACCTCCATACTTTGCATGAAAGTATGAAATTCACTGACATAAAGCTAAACTATTTTAATCTTAAAACAAGCTACATTTTTGTCCTCCAGAAAACTCTCAGATGAAGTATAAGAGTTCTGACAGAGAAATTCTTTTACAGACAACAGAGAACACTGGGGCCTGGTGAGTTGATTGCACAACTGGACACAAAGCATGACTTGAGGTGCTGAAGAGGGGATGGAGGACGTGTTTAAGATCCACTTCACAATTTCCTGAGTGGCTCTATGTAAGTCATTTATGGTCACTACACTTAGTTTCCATAACAACAAGGCGGGAATGCCCACACTTTGCTCTCCTGACTGACCTCCAGGGATATTATGAGAATAGTACTGATATTTATTAGCTCACTGGGCACCATGGATAAAAGTACCACAAACCCACCTAGAATTACTATTTGTACAGCACGCTAGCAAACATGAAGACGCTTGTGAAGGCAAAGGAATTTTTCAAAGACTCTAAGTAGTTTTCTAAGTACCAAAGCTGAGGGCTGCTAGACTAGTTACATAGATACACCAATTGTGCCCTGAGAGATTTGGGAAGTCTTGATCTATTTATCAGAAAAGAAATGTTACCAAAAGTCTTATGTGGACTTTTCTTACCAACTCTAGATACAGCTGTGTACTAACTTCTCATTAACTCAATGAGCCATGGGACTAATTCTAGTGTTTTACAATTCAAAAAGTAGGTAATAATGTTATACCAGCTGGTATTAGATAAGTTTGCATGCTTCTAATAAAAGCCATAAGCACACTCTAATTAGCCTTTGCAAGTCTTTACAGTTTTGTAAGGGTGCTCTTTCTAGATTACATATAAAGATGGCACAAGGAGGGTAAGCAGCGAGGCCACACAGCCACACTAAGAAACACTATACTTAAAAAAGAGGCTTGTGCTTTTTCTTTCTAATTCAACATATTGACACCAAGTATTAAATTATATCTACTTTTTCACCATCTGCTGAGATGCAGGGGCAGAAAGGAAAGTAGATGAGGGATACTTTTTTTCGGGTAACCTCATGAACAGAGGCAGTTGAAGTCGCCTGATGACACAGAGGGCCTTTCTCTGTCTGCCTGGCGTCTGGTGTCCAGATAAGGCATAAGGTGGATGCTAAGCGGAAACAATGCCAGAAGCATGAAACCACACCAACAGACATTTCCACTGGAGCAGAAGGAAGCACACATCAGGAAAAGCAGAGCAGGCAGTGGATGAGTACTGGCAGCACAGAGACGCCCCAAGAGGATGGCTTTACCTCACTAGGAAAGTTCTACCTGGATGGCTTTACCTGCATCTCCAGACAAGGCAGCTGTGCTTTTACTTCTAGCCAGGAACGAATGTGTGGGCGTCAGGAGTCTGTTAACAACGTTGCTCTCCCAGGGGCTGAGCTGCAGGCGGCGAGCTAAATGTCACCACATAAGGAAGATGTTAGAAGCATCCTTTCTCGGGTCAAGAGGGTGCAGAACATCATACCCATCGCCTCCACAGACCAGGCCTTCAAGAGACATCAGGCTCTCCAGAGAGGACAACGGGCCCCAGTCAGGACTCAGGAACCCTGTTCCAGGGGAGCAGCTGTCCACAAGCATCACCTTGCTTCAGGGTGGTAAGCTTGTGGCAGGTGATAAAGGAGTTTGAGTTGTGAATTTTGCTAATCACCCTCTTTTAGTAGTCAACAGACCTTCAAGTAGAAATATCATTTTATCTACAGATTTAGCATGTACCGATTACTCCAGGGGGTGCCACATGGGATGGGCATGGACTGACTGGATACGTTAGACATGCGTTTTATAAGAACCTGGAATAACAAACACCAACAGAGATTTGGCCAGTTAACGAAATACTAGACTTAGATTGAGTCCCCAGTTCAGTATTAAGCTATGCTAGATCCCCATGAATTGCTATTTGGGCAATTGTGATTAGACATAATAAAACAAAAAAAATTAATGCAAAGTTCTATATGGGATTCCTTTTGACCATTTTCCTTGGTGAGCCAAGTCTCTTCCTTTGACCACAATAGAAAAATCATGGCTGAGAATCAAGATTAATGGTGAAGTGAGATTAAAATTAAGTAGAAAAGCCAACATTCTGATGATTTGCTGGTAGGGGTCTAAAGTATCTGGACAATAAATGTAAAATAGTGCAGCCACATATGGCCCCAAATTGTACTGGGGCTAGGTAGGGCCAGCATTAGGAAATGCATTATAATTATAAATTAACTCTTTGCTTATTGCTGGCTTCCAGTGAGGCCCCAAGGACACACAGTAGGTATTTTCCAAAAACACCAATATTAAAGCTGGCGCATCCCTGCAGACACCACTAAGATGATCACATATCTCTGCATTGGAATGCACTTCCCAGTCACAGATAAAAGTCTTTCAAACCATGTAAAACCCGACAGGGCCACCTCAGTTCTGCTCCATAAATCTCAGATGTGAGTCCCTTTGCCCCCAGAGTGGGTGTTCTTATATATACTGTCATCTTAAAGAATGATACTTTAATTCTAGGAAATTAGTTTTAGTTAATAAAAACCATACAGTGCTAAAGTGTTGCTTTTTTTGGGCTGGCTCAGGATGCCTTCAGGGCAGGTCTGGTAAGGCTTAAGGATCTGGGGATCCAACGACAGCATCCTGATTGCTTTGTTTAAGCAGTCACTTAAACAACCCAACTAACGGGAAGGCCCCCGAAAGTTCAGAAGTGGTTTTTTTTTTTTCCTTCATACACTGCTAAATATTGCTACTTCAAAAAATTTTTGCGGGCTTGTGTGGGAGGAAGAACCAACCCCTAGGTTCCTTAATAACTTGATTTTTAAAAATGTGACTATTTTGATCAACACTCTGGTGAATTTAAGAAGTAGTGAATTATTCTTTAGATTTTATGTTTACTGGGAGTCTTTGTAGTTAAATATTATTTGGCATTAAGATGTTAGCAGACACACACACACCTACACACATACACACACAAAGATTGAAAACTACTGCAACGGCTCTGGCTAGTAGAAGGCGCCAGGGGTAAGTAAGCACTACCTACACTGGAAGGCAGTGTGCGAGAGTGTGTACTAAGAGCCTACAATCCAAGCTTAAACTACAACATACTCCCGGATCAGAGTCAGTGGTGAGAAAGTGATCAGGAACAACTGAACACCGTCAACGGAACTGTATGTTCGACACATAAGAGAAGGGAGAAAGATGAATGTTTCTTTTTTCTAGGAAAACTAAGTCAACTGCAGCTTAGACTCAGAACTATCACCTGAAAGACTAAGTTTTCTTTGCTCCACTAGGAAGTGTAATTACTCTCTTCCTGTGAGTCTTTAGGGTATCGAACACAGGCTTGGCTTCAAATGAAGATCATCATAAACTTACTTTAATACCTGTGAAGTAAATGCCTGCACTGTGAGTGTTTGAGTGTTTGCCGAAACATGTTTCTACTCCTCCCAGGTTAGTAACTAACGCCCTAACTGAGAACAGAGGCATCTTCTGTCAGGTAACATATCTGAGAAAGTGAGCCAAGGAGCGCAGTCCATTGTTCTTCTCACCTAGAGGGCTCTGATTTTTTGACCAATTAGATACTAACACTCATGGAATTGCATGATGCTGGCCCACTTAACACGACGCTGACCAGTGCTGAACAGACCACCGAGATGGGAAGACACACAACGGCGGCTGGGGCCATGCGGGTTAACATAAGGAAGAGGAGTCGTTCTGGCAAACATTACGCTGTTTGCACCACCGCTTTCCTTACGTTTGCCTGAAATCACTGTTCAGCTCCAGACAAAGGCACCAAGCAGAAGTCAGGCGAATGTGACCAGGTTCTCTCTCTCTCTCTCTCTCTCTTTTTTTTTTCCTCCATTGAAAGAAGTCTCAGTGGTCTGAAATCTTCCACATGTAAGTGTTGGCAATTAATGCAAATAAGAACAAAAAGCATCGCTCTGGTTAATTAGAAAAAAGCTTGGGGCAATATTTAGCTCCTGGCCATCTCTGTGTTCTTTGATATAGATTCTGGGGGAAATAAATTATTAATTCTAAGCAATGAGTAGGCAATTTTAGTTTTATTCTTTTCAAACTGTTGCTCATTATTTGAAAAAGCTGGTTAAATGAGTAACATAAAGATACTGATATGTCCTTTTAATGCAAAAATCTCCAGTGGCAGTATTTTCTTTGTTGCAACAATTATAGAACTCTTTATGATTGGTGATTTGCTTCAATCCAGGTGATACCAGTCCATGTAACACTAAAATAATCGAAATATTTAAAAACTGGTAGGACACAGGCACAGGGCAATGGCCAGCTTCCGTTAGCTCTGAGGACCAGTTCAAGCACATCTAGGGGAAGGGGCTCCTGCCAAGTGAGATGATGCTATTCCAGTATACTAATAACCAGAGGGGGCGGCTGGCCCCATGCCAGCTGAATGGCAACCCTCATGGCGTTTCAACCTCAGGTTTGTATCAGCTTGAAGGCTGCTGCTGTAGAGCTGAGAAAAACCTCAGTCTGTTAATGATGCCCAGACCCGCTGCACGCATTGGTCTACGGAGGAATGTAACTGAAAAATTCAATCAGAATGCTTTCTCACAGGATAAAAAAATACAACTAACTTTTAAAAATAGGCAGTAGGAAGGAATTCTATTTCTTTTCTTTTCTTTCTTTTTTTTTTTTTTTTTTTTTGGAACCAGGGATTGAACTCAGGCCCTTAAGCTTGCCAGGGAAACACTTATTCCACCGGGCCATCTCCCCGGCCCCAGGAATTATATTTCTGAATTACAGAAATTCAAATTTAGATTTTTTTTTTTTTAAATGTATTTGGTACAGGTTCTCACTATACAGCTCAGACTCATAGTGATCTTCCTGTTTCAGCCTCCCTAGTGTTGGGATTGCAGGTGTGTGCCCCCCTGACAGGCTCAGGGCGCCTGAGGGTGGGGCAGGCATGGCATGTGGTGCTGGGGATTGAACCCTGGTCCTTGCACTTGCCTAAGCAGGTGCTTAGTTCACTAAGCTATCTCACCAGCCCAGAATTTTTATTCCTAAGAGGCCTAAGCCTCTTACTGTCTTGCTGAGAGTTTTACCTATTTTTATTTTTTTTTAATATTTCTCTAGCATATGGGAGTCCACTTCTCAAATTCAATGTTCTCCTTCTTGTCCTCTTAGTCCAGTTCAACAGCCAGCTTTTTAGGCCTGCACTGAGGTTCAGAGGCGGTCTTTGGCCCCCGCCATAAACTAAGTATACAGCTTTCCTTGTCGCTGGTGTCCTAACTGCACTTTTAACTTATCTAAAGGAAGAGTGCAGAGCGTCAGCCTCCTGAGGGACATGCAGGAAGGTAAGAACTGCAGGCGCTGTGGGGCAGCCACGCGGTCGAGAGCCTTAGTCTGGTTCTCAAGCCTCTCCTGCAGTCATTAACCAGCAGGACCTGAAGTCAGAACTCAGCTCCTGGAGGACTCTATGATCCCAGCGGAGAAGACAATCCATCTAATGTATCTGTCTCAGTTCTAAGACATATTAAATTAAGAAATCGATATAAACAGTTTAACATTGTCATTCTATACAGACGTGGATAAGACACTGTCCAGCCTACTGTCTGTACTTCCAAACTTGCCCCAACTTCAGATATGGGACTGTAGGAGGTACTAGGCAAGGCTTAACTCAACAGTACTCTAAAGTTCTAGCTGTGGTATCTCCACACCTAGGTTCACAGGTGATTAAGATGAACAGAAAACTGTAAGATCAGCATTCATGTACATACTTCATGTAATATGAAGGGACTAGGTTTCAAAATAAAGGATATTTATGAAATTTTAATTAAAATAGTTTGACATGAAATATCCTTAATGACTACATAGCTGGTATCAGTAATTTAGGTAATTAAGTTTTTAAAAAAGAATTATTTTGGGTTAAGAGGCAAGAATAGGAAGTTATTAAGACAGTTACTGCTTTATGAGATTAGTTATAAAATAACATTCACACTCATATAATATTATACATTACAATGACATCACAATGCTTTAATACAATATAAAATATACAAATACACATACACAACATGCACACGTTACATTCTTTTTAAAGATTATAAACACTAAAACTTTAAAGTAATCACAATTTGCTACTTTTAATGAGCATATGCTTTAATACTGCACAGTAATTCTTTGGTTTTATTTAAAATCATCTTAGACAAGTAGCTTTTTTCAAAAGCTTAATGTTCCTTTTATTTACAAAATAAAGTTTTCCCTTTATAAATAACTCAACATTCATGTACTGTAAATCCATAGGATGAATAAAACTCAAGATGTCAACTAGAGGACTGTGGTTATCAAATTTCAGGAAGCTGCAAGGACATCCTTAAAGTTAGGTCAAATCCCTCTAGCGGAAATGAGCAGACACCCAAAACCCAACCACACACATGAAATGTAGCAAGAAATGCTTGGTTCAATGAGAAATCAATTGACAAAATGAAATTTACCAACATGAATCACAAAACGTTCTCCGTGGAAAGTCAGAACCTGGAATTCTCAAGGTACAGATGAAAAGCCAGACAGCATAATTGAAGGGAAAGAAATGTTCACATCAAAGCATTCTGCGTTTTGGTAGATAAGGGGGTGATTTCTGCAGCTGTAAACTCATTTACTAAAAGGTTGAGAGAAGCACCACTTTCATCACTGCTAAATGCAATCATTCAGCCACGTTCTAAAATGAGAAATGTCCTTGTCGCAAGGAACATGCTGCTGTTCAGCCGTTTATTGCTTTTTTACTCTGAAGTTTTTTTCTTCCTATTTAAGAAATGTAGGGAAAGCAACTTCAGATGCTTATTTTCATCTGTAGACATCCAGAAAAAAGAAAAAAAGGCATTAAAAACATTAAGAACACTTTTTTGTTTTCCTTTTGACTGTACCTCTATCTGGAGAATTTAGCAAAGTTGCTGATGAGGAGGAGAGCCGCTTGCTAATGACGGGATCAACATGTTTCGAAAGATTCATGGTGGAAACTGACCGCCTGTCTGGATCTAAAACAAATGAAGATAATGCTAATTGACAGCCAGCATGCAGGAGTGCAATTTCTTAGTTCACTGACGGCAGGAAAAACTAGGATTGGATGCTTTCAGCTCTATTGCTAGATCTCGCACAATAGCACAGTTTTCTAAGTGGACACGTTAAAGGTAACTTAAAGGCTAGAAATAGCATTTGTTTTTCTTAAAGCGTAAAATAAAACATTCCGTGCACCACCAGTTTGAAACTCAAGGAACTGTTATAGCACAAGTGGAAGAAGACCGAAGACCGGAAGTAAAGGGATCCAGAAACAGGGGAGGCCGACACATTTCTAATTCTGAATGCAGGAACCAGGGGAGGCAACCATGCTGGTAAAATATTCTTCTGCTCACACTGGCAATGGTAAAAGCACACCAAGAGGCGGCGACCTAGCGCGGCGGGCTCTGGAGCGTGAGGTCGCCGGTTCGCGCCCCCGTCCCGACTCTCTCTATTGGGCTGGGGAGATGGCTCAGTAGGATAAGCGCTTGACTGGCAAACGCAAGGATCTGAGTTCAATCCCCAGTTCTGCCAAAAGCACACCAAGTTCTGTGTGCTTGAGGATACTTCTGGACCTGCAGTCATTTTACTCAGGAATTACATTTTATCGTAGAAGGATGGTTCTAAAATCAAGAAAGGGCCAGCCAGATAGCTCAGTGGATGACAGCACCTACTTAGGCAGATGGGGTCCGCTGAGACAGCGATTGAGACGGGGCGTGGTGGCACGAGCCTAAAACCCATCGGGAGGTTGAATATAGGAAGGCCCACTACAAGTCCGATCTGCGTAGTGAGACCCTGTACTAAATACATAAAACAAAATAAAATTAAGAAAGAGAAAGAAGTACTCCGTGTGGCAAGAGCAGCCATTGAATCTTTTCTCTTTTTAAATCTACTAATAACCACACTTCTGTGCTCTATGAGTGTAGTGAGACCGGCAGCGTAAAGCCAGCACATAAACTTGCCCAATAGAACTGAGAGTGACAGAAATAAAATCGGAATTTTAAATTGATGAACAGTATTGTTCATCATACAGTGATACTATTTAAAAAGAATTCTGGAAGCTCAAATCAGAAAGGAAATCACATAAAAAACAAAAATTGGCTCTGTTCATTTGTTCTTTGTACAGTGGAACAATTTGTAATTGTGCTAATTAGCACAAAGCATATTCCCTGAACACAACTATGTGTAATGAAAGGTTATAAATCTCACAATATTTGTCTAGTAGGCAAGTGGCTATTCTGGCCTACAACAACTTACATTACAGAAATAATGTCATGTCTTAGTTTCTATCTTCTTTTTTTTCTGTATTTTGGGGAAGGGTCTAGAGGGTGTTCAGGGTCTCACTACTAGATTGGACTCGTAGTGATCTGCCTGTTTACAGCCTTCCAAGATCTGGGATTATAGGCATGTACCACCATGCCCTATCTCAATCACCATCTCAGCGTGCCCTGGGGGCAGGGCCAGCATGGCAGGACTGGGGTTGGCAGGCCCAGGGTTCAAACCCCTGACCCCTACACCTACTTGTAGGAGCTTTAATCTGCTGAGCTATTTGGCTGGCCCTTTATTTTCTATCTTTAGCTGCTTATAAAACCAAAACAGTCATTCTTTGTGATAGATGCCCTTGGCACCCAGCTCCTATCCGTCCAGCTAATCTTGGCAATACACACCTGCAGTGAACTCCCCCCATGGACTAACCATTTGGTTATCATTTACAGTGCAATGGTGATAAGTTAAAATCAATACGAGACATTTTTGCCTTTAACCGGGACTTAGAGAAACGTTACAAGGCACTTCAAAATGATGAAATGTGGGACAAAGGACACAAAGAAGGATAAAACAAGTCATGTCCAGGTCATTTAGAGCAACATATTTCCTGATGTTGCTTTATACATTAAGCTTTAGATAGAGGGGAAATTGTGTGTACACGCACACCTACCTTGAGACAGATTCTCAACAGACTATTAAAAAGTTGGCTTCAGGATAAGTGGAACAAAACAAGGAGCTAATCCAGATCTTCCCATTCCCCAAAATATCATGTATAGTAAGTCAACTAAATCTTTAATCAATGGTTAATATGAATGGAGATATGCATCAACATATTGTTCTTTTTTTTCTTTTCTTTTTCTTTTTTTGTGGTATCAGGGATCAAACTCAGCACTTCGCGCTTGCCAGGCAGGCACTTAAGCCACTGAGCTATCTCCTTGGCCCTAACATATTATTCTATTTAATACATGAGACAACTTTTAGTCCCTTCTTTTTCTCACTGAACAAAACATGGATTCACAAAAAGACTGACAAAGAACCTATTTCAAAAGTAAAACATTTTCATTTCTAGCTGATGTGGCAGGGTGGTACAAGATACTGATTTAACATGAATGCTTCTAGGATCTGTTTGTTCTCAGCAAACTACCCTGGGCGCCCACTGAGCACACTGGCGGTGCTGCCTAGCAAAGGGCATTTAAAAGGATGAGACCTGGATGTCACTCTCAAAATCACAAAAAGTCACTCACTTTCTAGTCTTGGAAAACCTTGTTACATTCAAATTACTTTCAGACAAATGTCTCTGTTCTGGTACAGCAGCAATTTGATTTAATTCAGAGGTCTTAAAGTAGATTTTATTCAACAACTCGCAAATGTATTCCTGGCTTCTCTTGCTGTGAGTAGCAGAGCTAACGGTCATATAAACCTCTCAGCATGGAAGCAAGAACTAAGGCTGACCAGCTTTATTTTTTCTTAAAAATGTTTGACAATCTGTGACAGACTGCATTTGTGTGACACACATATAAAACATGAAGCCAAATAAAAGAAAAAAAGGCCATAAAAACATATAACATGACGTCTTTTCTGCAATACAGACCCAAAAGCAGCCCCAGGATGAGACAGGACATGTGAGGCTGGGGTCTTGTGAACTTGAGGCCAGCCTGGGCTACATGCCAAGGTCAAGGCCAGCTTGACTACATAACGAGAACGTTTCAAAGACAAAATGAAAATTAACAACAAAAGGATGAAATATTACATGTTAACAGTCTCCATGATCACAGACTCGATATGGGGTGGAAAAGAGCCAAGGAGAATAAAAAGTATTCTCCAAGTTAGCTCCTCATCATAGGAAAGTGAGGTGCGCTCTTCATTAGATTTTCCTTTTTTAACAAAAGGGTTATAGAAGATACACAGAACAGGAGGCATGAAAGAAACAGCAAACAAACAAGAGTTCACAGCTGCCAGGTCAGGCTAAAAACAGCTGCAGTAGCAGGCCAGAAGGGCAGACGAAGATCAGGGAGCTAAACTGGATATGCCCGGATTCCAAGTGAATTTTTTTTTTCCTAAAAAACATTTTAAAAAGGTTTTATCCAAAATGCTCATCTTAAGAAAAAGTAAGCATGCTGCATATAATTATTTCAACCTTTAAGTCACCCAAGTCCTGTTATCACACTTAAGAAGCACTGTGCTGATCCCAGATCTAGGTCTATGCAGGGCAGTAAGCATGCATTACTGCTAAGTGGCGATGGTCCAGCTATGGATGCACTGGCCCTGGGTCTCAGTGCAAGCTACAGGGTGGCAGTCAGCAATCACAGGGAGGTCTGTACCAGGTTTTCTAGTACCACCCAAGGTTCTGAAGTGGTCCAGGCCTGCTAAATCGAGAAAGGTGAATGATGACTCAACAAAACCACCTGGGGACAGAATGTGAGACATGATTTTTCAAAATAAATAATAAAAAAAAATTTTGACTCATACAAACAAAAAAGAATTGACATACTATGTAAAACTCAAGGTGTATTGAATTTACAGTACAAAAATAAAGCCTTGCATGAGGTCCAAATTTCAGTATGATTTTATGTCTGTTTAGGGAGGAGAACTAGCTCAGATATCCACTTTTTCTAGCTTAAGGCACCTGTAGCCTTTCTCACATACACTCAGGGTCGGAATGTCTGGCTCACTGTCCTGATTTTGACCTGTTAACATCACTTTGCTTCTTCCAGAGAAAAGGATAAAACTAGTTAATTTATTCTGTAATCTCAAAGCCCTTAGGCAAATGAACTACTCAAATAGAGCTGAGACTAGCGAGTTTTCAAAACTGTGCATAGATTTTACTCTTGAATTTGTAATGAACGGGAAGAGTAGACTGTGTTAAGGGAAAGGACCCTATCTTTTTAATCTTCATCACCCTCTTATCCTCAAATAGGAGAAATATCATTTAATTACAGTTTAATGATTTCAGCAGGATTGTTTCGCAAACACAGATTTAGAAGAAAGAAGCAATCTGGGAGAAAAACAAAGACGATGTTTGGAAGCGGTCTCCTGGTGTTTACCTGAGCTGTGGGGGCGGGGGCTCCCGTGGAGAGGGCCTCCCCAGGACCACCGGTTGTACTTCTGTCTGGGTTTCTGACTCCTTTCCATCGTCCGCCGGACGACAGCCTCAAGACGTTCCTTAATGGGAATGAGGGGCGATGGTTAAACTCAGCACTGCCTTTCCAACGTAAGCCGGGAAGCACTTGCTAAACTATTTCCTAACTTCTGTGCCTTACCTTAAGATGAAGAAACATCCATCTTTCAAGGTTACCAAAACCCTTAGGTCCCAGTACATAGAGCCATTGGTACAAATAAATGGCCCTCACGGGGTGTGACGTTTTCAGTGACACACAGCAGCAGGACAGTGCAGGTCTTAAACAAAGGCTTGATACATTTGGCACCGTATTATATTTACTTTTTTCAGTACCAGAAAATGAACTTCTGTTAGACCAATTCTCAATCACTAAACTATAGTTTCAGGCCCATGTTTGCTTATCCGTCTGTCTGTCCGTCCATTCATCTCTCCCTCCCTCCCCCTGCATAACCAGGGATTGAATTCAGCTGTGCTTTATCTCTGAGCTTGCTTACCCTCCCTCTGCTCCCCCTCCCCCCTCTCAGCAGGATCTCACTAAACTGGCCAGAAAGGCCTCAAACTTCTAATCTCTACTGAAGTATCTGGGATTATTGGCATGCCCCACGGCACTGCGCTCACATAGTACCACCTTTTAAAAATGGAATTCTAGGGCCAGCGAGATAGCTCAGTGGACTAAGCACCTGCTTAGGCAAGGGCAGGGACAGGGATTCGATCCCTGGCACCACATCCGCACTGGCCCAACCTCTGGGCTTGTTGAGCTGGAAACAGAGAGTGGGTGTGGTGCCCAGTGCTGGGGAGGCTGAAAACAGGGGGATCACTGTGTAGTCCAAGCTGTGTAGTGAGACCCTGTGCCAAATACATTAAAAAAAAAAAAAAAATGAAATTCAGAATTGAGAATGTGTGTAAAGAAATGATGATGCTATCACTTTACGGAGTTATATGACCTTGTATAACTTACCCATTCTGAGTCTAAATGCTTATTTTGGCAAAAACTGTTCACAGTTAACAGTTGAGTGACTATTAATAATTATCAGTCCAATCGCGACCTGCCACCTACCCAGCCGAGCCCTGTGCCTAAACTACACAGCTGATTACACTGAAACCTTGCAGTGGCCCCCCGTGGACACGTGACCGCACAGTTCTACAGGAAGTGCGCTGCGTCTTGCCCATGGTCTTCCCCTGGGCTGGCTCACCTTATCCTCCTCCAGCCTCTGCCTTCGCTTTTCCTCCACCGCAGCCCTCCTCCGCTCCTCCTTCAGCCGCTGTTCCTCTAGCCTCTTCTTCCGCTCCTCCAGGTGCTTCTCATAGTGCAGCCTGGCTCGCTCTTCTCTTTCCAGCCAGACGATTTCTCGTGCAGCTTCAGGGTAAAAGCAGGGAAATCCAACGAGGGCAGGTTTAGACTTTGCGCAGTCAGGGCTGTGTAAGCGGCTCACATTTACAAAGACAGGTTCTGGGAACTTGTACTGATCAAGGCTGGCGTTTGGTTTCCTCAGATTCCCAGGAAGGGAGGACTACCACGTGGTTACCTTTTTGAGATAATATGCTAGCAATGAGGTCAAAGGAGGTGCACCAAACTCTAGTCTTCTGGAACCAATACAGACAGCCTGGCTGGCAAAGAATAAGGCCTATATGTTGCATGCTTTGTCTTCAACTCTGACATTGCCTTTGATATCCTTGTTTGGCTTTCCTCCTCATTGCTTTCAAAACAGCCTCTCAGCTCCAGTTAAACCAGATTCCTTCCTAACAAACCACATCGCTCACCTATCTTTGGTCTGATTACTGCCCTGGTGGAAACTGCCATCATTTTTAATCCCAGCGGGTCCATTCTTTAAGGCAGTAGCTTCATAACTGAAATGCATGTCAGGATACCTCTTTTTTTTTTTTTTAAATTGTGTTTCATTTCTAATGTCTGATCTATTTTTTTATTATTTTAAAAAATCCAGTAAGTCATAAATAACTTAATGGTAATATTCAAATATATCTCCAGAAGATAAGGTATCCTTATCTTGGATGTCCTGGGGTGGGGAATATAGGGCAAATTGACTATCTGTTTAAAATCTAAATTCCTGGGCTCCGATCCTCACATTCAGATTTGCTAAATCCAGGTCAGAGCCCAGCATATGCATTCAAGTGTGTGGGTGTATGCAATATGCGTGTTTCAGCTACATTGGAACCTCACAAGTAATATGCCTTTTTTTTTATTTTAAAAATTTAAAAAGATATTTATTTATCTGGTACAGGGTCTCACTACACAGCTTGGACTCCTAGTGATCCTCCTGTCTCAGCAGCTCCAGCGCTGGGATTATAGGCATGAGCCACCATGCTAGCTTTCAGTGGCTAGCGGGGCTGGCACAGCATGCGGTACTGAAGATCAAACCCAGGTTCTTGCGCATGCCAGACAGGTGCCTAGACTGCTGAGCTATCTTCCCGGCCCCAATCTGTATTTTTATTTCTTTGTATTTTAGGACAGGGTCTAAAGGGTCTCACTATGTAGATTGGACTCATAGTGATCCACCTGTTTACAGCCTCCCAAGAGCTGGGATTATAGTCACGTGCCACCACACCCAGTCTCAATCAAGTGCTCCCCAGGAGCAGGGCCGGCACGGCATGCAGGAACTGAACCCCAGCCACCGCATCTGCCTAAGCAGGTGCTTTAATCCTCTGCGCTATTTGGCTGGCCCCCCAGTCTGTACTTTTAAAATAAGCCTCACAGGTACACATGATACAAGTGGCCACTGATGTTAAGAAAGACCTGTAATCTTTTTTTTTTTTTTTTGAAATTGTGTTTCATTTCTAATGTCTGATCTATTTTTTAATTCTTTTTAAAAAATCCAGTAAGTCATAAATAACTTAATGGTAATATTCAAATTTATCTCCAGAAGATAAAAGCTGAACTTATCAAGAGGCCACAAATGGGCAAGAAAGTCTTCCTTTTTGAGAACAGATTAAAAAGAAGCTCCGAGGCTTCTCAAGCTCACTGGTGCTTTTCTGATACCTGCCTTCAACTTCTGCATGTCTTATGTACTAATTTCTGTGTAGCTAAGGTCATGCTCTCCCTGTTACCTTTCACAGCTTGAACACATCCAAGCTGTGAATAACTGCTTCTGGAGTCACTGGGAAGTATGAACTTATAATTCATCCCTGGATTATGGGATCATAATATCTGAAATGAAAACCCCCTGGAGGCTGTGCAATACAAGTCAATCCATGTCTGAGCTGTTGCCACCAAGATATTCTTATGACACTGCCGCAATGGGTCAGGGCCAAACCCAGGGGAAATGCACTCTCAGTCCCGAGTTCACGTAGAAACACAGTGAAGTGACACTTTTTCACTGAGAGGAATTAAGATGAAAAGCAGGGGAGGGAAAAAAAAAAAAAAAAGGGGCTGGCCAACTAGCTCAGCAGAGTAAAGCATCTGCAAGCAGGTTCAGGGGCCAGGGGTTCGATTCCCAGGCCTGCCGTGCTGGCCCGTGCTGAGATGGCAATTGAGACTGGGCGTGGTGGTACGGGCCTGTAATCCCAGCTCTTGGGAGGCTGTAAACAGGTGCATCACTATGAGTCTGATCTAGTAGTGAGACCCTGAACCCCCTTGTAGACCCTTCCCCCCAAAAAAGAAAAGCAGGGTACTGGGGTAGAGGAACAGTTTCTGGTTACACAGGATTTGAGTCCATTCCCACCCTGCCACTTGCCAGGCACCGGTCACTGAACAAGTGATGAATTCCACAGTTCTGGTTCCTCCTAGTCCTGAGACAGCTCTAGGTGGGCTCCTGGAAATGCAGGAAGAACTCAGCACGGTGAACGCATTGAGCGGGAATTCACAAATGCGAACAACGGTGATGAATTTTTATGATAATCCTAACTCATATAGCGTCATAGAGCATGTAGCGAATGGGAAGAACACAGAAAGGACAGAGAACTCGGGGTACGCAGGGTGGGTGGTGCCCACCCACCCCATCACATTCAGCTCAGGCTCATGTCTGCCTCACCCACGTCTCATGCCACATGAGGGAAAAGAAAAGGCGACATTCGGAGAAGAGAGCCACGTTACCGCTCGACCTCAGAAGCATGCAGACCTGTTCTCTCTACGCCATCTCTCCCTTCCCTTTCCTCTGTCCCTCCTCTTCTCCCTTCTGTGTGGCACCAGGGATCAAACTTGGGCAAGTGCTAGGCAAGTGCTCAGCCACCAACATCCCCCTTTGGTTTCACACTAAAGATATGCAAGTAACATGGGGTTTCACAGTAGCTAGGACTATGCTAGAGTCGGAAAATGAGCAGGGCTCAGAGCACCTGAGTACTCTTCATGCTGTGTGATCCCGGGGTAAGGAACAGACTTTCTTATTTCTAACCTAGAGAGTGAGCAAAATGATCTCCAAAATTTTTCATATTAAGCCCTCTTGACTCAAGTTTTGCTTTTACCTTTGAGGTTGTATGGGATTACAGCCAGGTTTTTGTTCTATGTCTTTTGTTTTGATTTTGAATGCTAAAGTGTTAACACTTATGCATCATCTCAACATCTACCATGATCACTCACATTCAAATAAATGTCACTTTTTTTGGTTACTGTGAGCACACTAATTGAATACATGTGCTAAATGATAATGCTTTCAAACACAGAATCGACCAGTTTAAACTAATTCAGCATTTCTAGGAAGGGCACTATAGGAATGAAAAATAAGGGCATTTAAACACAGAGAAGCAAAAATATTTTTCAGGGCCTATCTTAAAGCACTTGTGTAGGAAACACTAATTTCATTTAAAGCCAAGAAATGAGAGTGAGGGGGTCACCACTAATAGGAAGTGCAGCATGGCTTCCAAATTAATTAGGGGAAGTGTAGAATGAATATGCTTTGTTTGCCTCAAAGTAATTCACACATCACCACCACCAACCTGTGCCCACCAATAACTCCATCCCATGACAAGGAAGAATAAGGACAAAATGGTTTCAAAGATGAGCTAGGAATAAAATCAAGCTTATTAAGATCAAGGTTTTGCCTCGCATAATGGTACACGCCTGCAAGCCCACCTACTCCACGAGGCTGAGACATGACGGTAACAAGTTCAAGACCAGCCTGGGTAACTCAGCAAGACAAGGGCTGGGAGTGTAGCTCGGGGTATCATACTTGATCAACATTACGTGAGGTTCAATATGGGGTGTGTGTGTGGAAAACCAAAGACACTGGGATTAAAAAAAAAAAAATTAATTTGATATAGGGTCTTGCTATGCAGCTCGGACTTGTAGAGAACCTCCTGTCTCAGCCTCCCCTGTGCTGGGATTATAGGCCTGCACCACTACGCCTGGTTCTGGGGCCAGCATGGCATGCTCTACCGAGGATCAAACCTGGTCCTTGTGCTTGCCAGGCAAGCACAGGCTTAGACCGCTGAGCTATCTCCCTGGCTCCAGACTGTTGGACTTGGCTGAAAACAAAAACATCTAGCTACGGTGTTTAACAGAAGCAAACCTAAGGGCTGAGTGCTTGGCTAGCATGCAGAGCCCTGGGTTTGAGCTCTAGCGGACACAGGAGGAAGGAAGGGAGAGACAAAAAGAGGGAGGGAGGGAAAGGGAAGAAAAAGGGAAGGAAAAACAAACTTATGAATAAAGCATAAAAACAAATAAAAAATGCAAATACCTGTCTGGAAAATGAAAACAATGGAAGACTGAGGCAAAAGGATCACATTTCCAGCCAACCCTGAGAAGGCAGCAATTTAGCAAGACCTGTCTCAAAATAAAAACTAAAAAGGGCTGGGACTGTTGTTCAGGGTGAAGGTCCAATCCTCAGTACTGGAAAAACAGAGTAGTAATTGTGAGAATATTATAATACAAAATGAAATTGAAGAAAAATATGGGGAAAAACAGCTAGAGAAGTTAAATGATGGTCCCAAGACAGCAGAGCCTGCAAGAAGGGGTTGGTTTTGGAGACAGGGTCTCACTACTGCATTTCAGGCTGACCTTGAACTCACTACAGAGCTTACGCTGGCCTTGAACTCTGAGAGATCCTCCTGTCTCAGCCTCCAGAATGCTGAGATGACAGGCGCGTGCCACTGCACCTGGCAAGAGTTGGGTTTAAATTTAGCTTGGAGCCCAAAGCTTGTATTCTCAGTCACTACACAACCTTGTCTCCACACTCACTTCCATTTGCCTCAAATTCCCATCTGAATATTCAGTTGGAGCTATCATGCAGCCTTGCTTTCTGCTGCACATTTCTTATTCTAAGCCAGAACTTGCTTGGCATTCTGGTAACAGATTCATGAGATCAACAATCCAGTTACAATGTCAAGAGTCTTCCTCAGTTTCACTCTCCAGGATGCTCTGCCCTGGAGCTCAGCACACCCAAGCAACAGAGCCCTCCCAAGTTCGCT